TGCATCGCCAGGTGTGACCCCCCCCAAAAAAGGGGAAAAAAATGAACTCACATTCTTTTTTTTTTTCTTTTTGGGTCATACCCAGCAGTGCTCAGGGGTTCCTCCTGGCTCATGCACTCAGGAATTATTCTTGGCGGTGGTGGTGGTGGTGAGGGGAATCCTATGGGATGCCGGGGATTGAACCCGGGTCGGCCGCACCCGGGTCCGCCGCACGAGGCAAACGCCCTCCTGGCTGTACTATCGCTCCAGCCCCGCCCCCTCGCATTCTAAGGAGCAAGAGTAACTGCAGCTAGAGAGGTTGGCCCAGGGTACCCCAGAGGGGACCCGGCAAGCAGGTGGGGGGGTCATGGGCCAGACCTCCCTCTTTGTTTCCTGGGCGGGGGTCCCCCATAGAGCTTTTGTCTGAAGCACTGGACAGGCTACCTTGCCAGGTTGGTAAGAAGATTTAAGGGAGGGGGGATGGCTCACTGGGGGAACCCCATGTCCCCCGAGGACTGTTGGGAGTGTTCCCCAGATAAAAAAGTCAATAAATTCAGAGCTTTTTTTTTAAAAGTATTGATTTGGGGTCACCCCTGGTTGTGCTCATGGGGAAGGACTCTTTCCAAGTAGTGGTGCTTGGGGAATCTCTCCAGGAGGTACTGGGAATCGAAACCAGGATCTCATCGCATGGAAAGCCAAATCCCGGCCCCCTTTGTTGAAAAAAGAAAAGAAAGAAAATGAAGATTATTTAGGCTCTGGAGCGCCAGTGCAACGGGGAGGGCGTTTGCCTGGCACACAGCTGACCAGTGTTCGATCCCCGGCGTCCCATAGGGTCCCCTGAGCACCGCCAGGAGCAATTCCTGAGTGCAGAGTCTTGCCGGGTATGACCCAAAAAGCCAAAAAAAAAAGGAAAAAAAAAAAAGGTAAATTTAGGAGCGGCGAAAGATAGCACAGGAGTTGGGCGCTGATTTTCAGCCGGGACCTGGTATGATCCCCAGCACCACTAGGGGTCGCTCCTGAGCACAGAGCCAGGAATCTCCCCGCCCCCACCTCCCATTCCCCCCCCAAAAGAGACGCTTTATTGGGGCTGGGGGTGTGGCCGCGGTGCGGGCGCGCGTCCCTGGCTTGTGCAAAGTGCCGTGTTTGCTCCGGGGCAGCGCCAGATGCGGCCCTCCCAGGAACGCAGATGGAGGGACCTAAGCCTGCCAAGGGCCCGCGCCGAGCGTGCCCGGACACCCCGGCCCCGGGCACCGCCGATCTGGACCCTGAGCGCCACCCTCGTGCCAAGCGCTTCACGTGGAAACTGGCACGCGCTGTCACCACCCGCTGCCCGCTCTGTCCGGGGGCCTGGTCTCCCCCAGGGCTGGGGGTGGGGGTGCTGCAAGGGGTCCCCCCGCAGACTCCCAGACCCCGTGGCTCCCCGGGAGGGTGGGGACTGACTCAGCCCAACTGACTCAGCCCTGCAGAGCTCACGGGACTTTCTCTGGAATCTGGGCCCCAGGCAGCGGTCCCGGGGGGCCACCCACCTAGAGCAGAGGGAGGGGGACTTTGCCAGATGGACATCTCTGGGATTCTTATGGGGGTGTAGGGCTCAGTGATGTAGTCCGCATTACAGCGGCACCAGGAAAGTCCAGCTGTTGCTTTCTGGCTGCTTTTTTTTTTAATTTAATTATTGGGCTGGAGCACGTAAGGACATTTGCCTTGGACGCAGCTGACCCTGGATCGATTCCTCCGTCCCTCTCGGAGAGCCCGGCAAGCTACTGAGAGTATCTCGCCCGAACAGCAAAGCCTGGCAAGCTACCCACGATGTATTCACATGCCAAACACAGTAACAAGTGTCATAATGGAGACGTTACTGGGCCCGCTTGAGCAAATCAATGAACAACGGGAGGACAGTGACAGTGACAGATTTTATTATTATTATTAGTATTATCTTTTTTTTTGCTTTTTGGGTCACACCCGGCAATGCTCAGGGGTTACTCCTGGCTCATGCACTCAGGAATTACTCCTGGTGGTGCTGGGGGGACCCTATGGGATGCTGGGAATCGAACCCAGGTTGGCCGTGTGCAAGGCAAATGCCCTCCCCACTGTGCTATGGCTTCAGCTCCGATTCCTGGATGCTTCTGAGCCCAACTCCAGAGGGATGCGTTGGCCCCATCTGCACATACCCCCTGGCCAACCTAAGACCAGGGGTGGACAAACATCTAGTTGATGGGACTTGGGGTGATTAGCTGGTTGGTTTGTCCCAAGGCAGTGGGGGAGAGACATGAAGGAGAGCAGAGTGGGGAACAGCTGCACCCCTCTTTCCTCTGTTCCCCCAGATGCTGGGGAGGGGGCCGCCAGCAGCCCCTCCTGTGCCTCCGTCAGGTGCCCCCCATTTTTTTTTTTTGCTTTCTGGGTCACACCCAGCGATGCATAGAGGTTACTCCTGGCTCTGCACTCAGGAATTACTTCTGAGTAATTCCAGTGCTTGGGGGACCCTATGGGATGCTGGGAATCGAACCCCGGTCAGCCCGCATTCAAGGCAAACGCCCTCTCCCCGCTGTGCTATGGCTCCAACCCCTCTGTGTTTGTTTTGGTTTGGGGGCCACACCCACAGGTGCTCAGGGCTTACTCCTGGCTCAGGGATCGCTCCTGGCGGGGCTCAGGGTACCCTAAGTGGTGCCAGCGATAGGACCAGGGTGAGTCGCGTGCAAGGCAAGCGCCCTGCCGGCTGTCCCATCTCTCAGGCCTGCTGAGATCGGATTGATGAGTTACTGCACGTCCGTTCAGCCCGATCCATAAATATTTTGTTGGACCGTCATGTTCTTCCGCACCCACTCCCTCACCACCCTTCCAGGGCTATCACCCTTCCTTCTGCTGATAACCCAGGGATCCGTTGTCTTGGCTACTTTGAAGCCGACCAGGCCGTGGGGCTGTTATCCGAGGCCACGGGAAGTCTGCCCCTTCTCCCCGCCTTCCTCCTTCACACCCCCTGACACCCCCGACTCGGCAGGGGGGAGTCTAGGTTTCGGTGGGTTTCAGACTTGGGTGAGAGGAGAGAGTATTTGCCTGCTGGGTCTGGGAATTTCACAGTGCATCCCGGATCCCAGGCGTCTGCCTGCAGACTGACCATCTTCTAGCTCAGACCCCCCGGATGGGGTGGGCAGGACCTCTTAGACCCTCTCATGCCCTCCCCCCCGCCCCCCCGCACCGCCCTGGACCCGGGGAAGGGTTGCCTCTGGCTCAGAGAGGGCGGATGGGAAACTGCTGTCCAGGATGGATGGGTTCAGTTATGGGAAGGCTGGCTGGGCGCCCGGCCTCTGATAAGGAGAGATGCGTGTTGCAACGTGACTCCCAGCACAGGTTGTTCTAGGGTTTGTTCGGTTCTTTCTTTCCTTTGTTTGTTTTCCCTTCCCCACTCCCAGAATGTCAGATGTCTGTTTCTTTTCTTTTTTTTTTGCTTTGTTTTTATGTCACATCGAGCGATGCGCAGGGGTTACTCCTGGCTCTGCGCTCAGGAATCACTCCTGGCGGTGCTTGGGGGACCTGGTGGGATGCCGGGGATGGAACCCGGGTCAGATGCATGCAAGGCAAATGCCCTACCTGCTGTCATATGGCTCCAGCCGCCGTCTTTTTTTTTTTTTTTTTTTTTGCTTTTTGGGTCACACCCGGCAATGCACAGGGGTCACTCCTGGCTCTGCGCTCAGGAATTACCCCTGGCGGTGCTCAGGGGACCATATGGGATGCTGGGAATCGAACCCGGGTTGGCCGCATGCAAGGCAAACGTGGCCGACCTGAGTTCGATTCCTCCGCCCCTCTCGGAGAGCCCGGCAAGCTACCGAGAGTATTCGATATGCCAGACACAGTAACAACAAAGTCTCCAATGGAGACGTTACTGGGCCCGCTCGAGCAAATCGACGATCAACGGGAGGGCCTTTACCTTTACCTTTATGGTTCATTTAACGGAGGTATCATAATACATAATAGAATTGAAGTTGTGGTAGTGGTTGTTATTATTCCAAGTTTTGAGGCCACACCCACTGGTGCTTAGGGCTTACTCCTGGCTCTGCACTCAAGGACCACTCCTAGCTGTCTTGGGGGACCATATGGGGTGCTGAGGATTGAACCCACGTCTGCTGCGTGAAAGGCAGGCATGCAATCTGCTGGACTATCTCTCAGACCCCCTGAAGTTGTTCTTTAAATACATATACTTTTTTTAAATAGTGCCGGAGATTTTTTTTTTTGCTTTTTTGGGTCACACCCGGTGATGCTCAGGGGTTCCTCCTGGTTCTGCACTCAGCAGTTACTCCTGGATTTGCTCAGGGGACCATATGGGATGCCGGGGACTGAACCCGGGTCAGATGCATGCAAGGCAAATGCCCTACCTGCTATACTATCGTTCCAGCCCCTGAAGTTGTTCTTTTCTTGTTAATTATCTTTGGGGGCACACTTGTTGGTGCTCAGGGATCACTCCTAGCAGTGATCAGGGGGGACATATGCAGTGTCAGGGATTTTTTTTTTTTGCGGGAGGAAGGTTTATTTGCCCGGAGATGCTTGGGGGTTCCTCCTGGCTCTGCACTCAGGAATTACCCCTGGCGGTGCTCAGGGGACCACCTGGGAGCGAACCTCAGGTTGGCCGCGTGCAAGGGAAAGTGCCCTCCCCACTATACTATCGCTCCAGCCCCAATCGTTATTTTGTTTTTACAGTGCCAGGGATTTGAACTGGGGTTGGAGGGATGCAAGGCAAGTGCCTCACCCCTTATACTACCTATCCAGCTTCTGGAGGTTTTTTAAATTTATTTTAATTTTTTTTGGAAGAGGCACAACTAATGGTGCTCCAGACTTACTCCTAGCTCTGTGCTAGGGATCCCTCCTGGTGGGGCTTGGGGGGCCCAGTGGGGTGTTCAGGATTGCACCCAGATGAGCCATGTGCAAGGCGAGTGCCCTCCCTGCTGGCCTGTAACTTGGGCCCCTGGAGTTGTCACTTTATTATTATTATTTTTAAAAAGTCGTTCACAATAATTTATTACATTCAGTACTTCGACACCAATCCCATTACACCTTCCCACCACCTGAATTTTTCCACCATCACCCAAGCCTGCCCAAAGGCAGATACTAAATAATTTATTTTGTATTACTTGTTATGAATAATCCACTAAAAAGGATCCAAAAAAGGTTTCCTTAGAGGAAAGTGTGTGAAGATTGTATCTCACCTTGGAGACATTAAGCCCCTGTATAAGAGATTAGTAACATGTTGATTAGTAAGATGTTAATTAGTTACAGGTTGAGCCTTGTGTGCTTTTATATATATATATATTTAATCAAGATCCGTTGTCTTCTACTACTGGAATTGTCACTTTATTTATTTATTTTTGCTTTTTGGGTCACACCTGGCGATGCTCAGGGGTTACTCCTGGCTTTGCACTCAGGAATCACTCCTGGCAGTGCTCAGGGGACCCTATGGGATGCTGGGAATCGAACCTGGGTCGGCCGCATGCCAGGCAAACGCCCTACCCGCTGTGCTATCTCTCCAGCCTGCCACCAATGTTGCCTCATCCCTCCACTGTTTGTTTTATTTTGGGGGCCACACCCAGTGATGCTCAGGGTTTACTCCTGGCTCTGTGCTCAGGGATCACTCCTGGGTATGCAGTGCTGGGGATCGAACTTAGGGTGGCTGTGTGCCAGGCAAATGACTCACCGAGGGTGTCCCAGAAACGCCCAGACTTGGCCTCCCCGCTTGGCGGCAGAGGGTTGAACGCAGCGGAGAATGTGAAGGGGTGAGGTGTGGAAACACACTCCCACCTTGGGGGCTGGATGCCCAAGAGGAAAGCAGGGAGTCTGGTCCCTTCTCTCTATCCCGTGGTCCATTTCCCTCACCTGGCCCTTCCACCCCACCCCGGGCGAGGGTTTGAACCCCTGACAGCGGGTGCTTGTGTGACTGAGCAAAGCAACTCTGGAGACCAGAGAGAAGTTCCTGGGTCGAATCCCTGAAAGCTGCTGGTTCCCTGAGCACCAAGCTGGGCGCACGCAGCAGCCCCTCGGGACCACCAGAGGTGGCCCCCAAAGCAGTTCTGGGGTCGGGAAGATAACTCCAGTGGTAGAGCACATGTCCTTCTGTATGAGGCCCCGAATTTGGTCCCTGACTCGGCAGGGGCCCCCTGAGGTTCGCCGGGGTGGGTCCTATGAAAAGAATCAGTTCTGCAGCTAGGGAGATTCGAAGGCAGTTTCCCTCACATGTGGCTGGTCCGGGTTTGATCCCCAGCACCTCCTAGGGTTCCCCTTGCCCCACCAGAAACGATCCCTGAGTGCAGAGCCAGGAGTGAGCCCCAGGATGTTGGCGGTGACACCTCCAAATCCAAAAGTCAACTGACACATAAAACGGTTCTCTGGGGGCTGGAGCGATAGCACAGCGGGTAGGGCGTTTGCCTTGCAAGAGACCAACCCGGGTTCGATTCCTAGAATCCCATAGGGTCCCCTGAGCACTGTCAGGGGTAATTCCTGAGTGCAGAGCCAGGAATAACCCCTGTGCATCGCCAGGTGTGACCCAAAAAGCAAAAAATCCCCCCCCCCAAAAAACAAACAAAAAAACCAAAACGGTTCTCTGCAATCTGCACCGTTGCTGCCTCCCTGTCATGTGCCAGCTCTTTTGGACCAAAAACACTAGACAAAGCGACAGTGACAGGGGCTCTGGGGGCCAAGGGGCCCGGACCCCCAATTTCTGTTCGTCAGGAGGGTTCAGTCCAGGCACTGACATGGCCTGAGATGCGACCAGAGACTTCCAGGGGAGGTGTGGGGCTAGGAGCATCTTGCAGAGAGGGACAGAGGGACCATCCTTGTCCAGTCCTGAGGGCTTTGCAGCCCTTGTGGGGACCCTCCCAGCCGACAGCATCACTCCTGGGGTCCTGGGAAAACCTTGATCTCCCATGAACCCACCCACCCTCTCCACGACACGACAGCCCCAGTCAGAGGCAGGTTCCTGGAGAGAAACACGAGACAGATTCGGAAGTAGATGGGACCGGGTGTCCAGCGAAGAGAAAGCAGGGTTGGGGAAGGAGACAGCAGAGTCACAGCTGGGCACAGGGCACCACCCCGAGGACCTGAGTCACGATTAGCCAGAAGGAGACCTCTGAGTTCCGAGTGAGCGTCAGGGGGCCGAGGGCTGACCCTGGCCAGGGGATGGAAAAGCCGGAGACTTCACGGGAACTGAGTGAGGCCAGAGAGGCCGCGGGACCCTGGGGCAGAGGGCCCGGGCCATCGGGGGGCTCCATTTTAGGCTGATGCGATGCCTCGGGTGGGTTTGGGGCTGGGGACTTGGACCCCCCAGGCTGGCAGCCTGACCCGACCTTGCCCATCGGGGATGGGCTTTGCTTTGGAGCAGAAGCTGACTGCCCTGCTGTGGGTCCGAGGCAGGGAGCCGTGAGCTCTCGCCTCTCACAGATGCTGTTTCCTCTCCAGACACGCGGAGGTCAAATGTAGGTTCCCTTCTCCATCTGAGCTGCCTTTTCCCCTAGCGTGTGCAGCTGGCCTCCAAGCCATGGAGTGAACCTCCTGGTACTTATCTCGGCCATTCTTGGGTATTAATCTCCTATTTTGTTACTTTATGTCCCCCAGATGAATGCAATCTTTCTATGTCTGTCCCTCTCTTTCTGACTCTTTCGCTTAGCGTGATACTTTCCATGTAGTACCACTTGTATGTAAATTGCATGACCATCCTTTCTAACAGCTACATAGTACTCCATTGTGTAGATGTACCAAAGTTTCTTTAACCAGTCATCTGTTCTCAGGCACTCAGGTTTTTTCCAGATTGTAGCTATTGTAAACAGTGCTGCAATGGGTGGGATGGGGGTGGGATGGGGGGGTGGGAGGGCTGCTGGGACCCGTGGTGGTGGAGAATGGGCACTGGTGGAGGGATGGGTACTCGATCATTGTATAACTGAAACCCAAGCACAAAACTTTCTAAGTCTACAACTGTACCTCATGGTGTTTCACTAATAAAAATTAAAAAAAAAATAAGTAGGTTCCCCCGGGCACTTTCTCTGCTCCCAGACAGTCTGGGGAGTGGCCAGGGTGATTCAGAACCTGCCTTTTGCCCACAGGAGATGGAGATCCGGAACCGTTGCACTCAGGGCAGTGAGTGGGGGCAAGCACTCACCCCACCCACCCACCCAGGGGGTGTTTCAGGGATCCCCCGCCCCCCTGCCTTCTGGCGGTGGAGAGCTGCATGCAGCTGAGAATATAAAGGGGTGAGGCTTCCAAGCACGTGTCCACCTTCGGGGCTGCCCTTTCCCAAGGCAGAAAGGGAGGCTGGGGGCTGGAGGGTTAGCACAGCAAGTTTGCCTTACATGCAGCCGACCCGGGTTCGATTCCCAGCCTCCCATAGGCTCCCCCAAGCACCACCAGGAGTGATTCCTGAGTGCAGAGCCAGGAGGAACCCCTGAGCATCGCCAGGTGTGACCCAAAAAGTAAAAAAAAAAAGGGGAGGCTGGTACGTGGATTTGGGGCGTGCATGTGAGCAGGTGTGTGTGGTCACGCGTGCATCAGGCTGTGGCCTCGGATCTTCTCCAGGAGCGTGGGGTGCCCCCTTAGCCCCAGAGCACACAGGTGACCCCCCACTTCTCCGCTGGCCCCTGGCTTCCTGTGCCTTATCTCACAGCCCTGCCCCGGCTCTGTGATGAGAAAATAATTAACCACAGACTCATTTTCCAAGGCTTCCACCCTTCTCTCCTAGCCAAGATAAAAATAGTCACAATGCACAGGGCTGGGGAGGGAGGGAAGAGAGAGGGCAAGGCCATGGGGGCCAGAGGGAGGAAGAGGCGTGCAGGAGGTCGGCTGGCGGGTGCGGGTGCCGGGCGGGCGTGGGAGCTGGCCCCCGGGTCTGCAGGCCCGCAGTGAGCCGGGTGATCGCTTTGACCTGCAGGTTTCAGCTTGTTTTCCTCTAGGACGGGGCCGACTTGGCGCTCAGTTCTTCCTCCGGATGTAACAGGTGATCCCCCAAATACACCAAACAAAGAGAACCCGATCCAGGCTGCCGTGGTTACTGCCCAGTGGGAAGTGACTGGCAGGAGGGATAAAGTTAAACCAGTTTCGGGGCTGCAGGGCAGCTCAGAGCCCAGGGTCGGTTGAAATCTTTCATTTCTTTGCCTCAGGATTACAGGCGCCTGGGTTGGGGAGCCCCCCCCCCCCGAGGCGTCGGAGGGCGTGGGAATCTGGGGGCAGGGGGCGTCCAATCTCTCCAGGGTATAGCTCTGCCCCACTCGCGCGTCCTGGGCACTCCTAGGGCTTGGAGAGACGGTGCCCGGTGCCCGCGAACATGGGCAGGCTTGAGTGTGGTCAGTGACCCCGAGTGTCCCGGGGCGGGCGCAGGGAACTCTGGGTGCCGCGTTCCCCAAACTCGCTTGATCATTTCACCCTGGACTTGCTCCCCAAGCACTCCTGGCTTCGGCACCAGGAAGAAGCGTTTTGGGCAAAGTGGTGGCCCTGGTGCCCCTCATCAGCGCAGCTTCCAGGAGCGGCATCCTAGGTCGCGAGCGCCCCCCAGTGTCTGAGAGGGGGGCTGTGACCTCTGCCCTCGGCTGTCCAGTCCTGCGGCCGCAGGACCCAGTCGGAGCCGGCAGAGGGCCGGGGCCCGGGAGCCGCCCCGGGGAGGGGTGGGGGTCCTGCCGGATCTGGATCCGGTGCTCCCGGCAGTGCTCGGCCACGAGACCCTGTTCCCCCTCCCCGAGACCCCACAGAAGAACAGGGTCACAGGTGGGGCGCGCTGGGACCCCTGGAATCCTCTCCGGGAGGGGGAGCAGGTGGTGGGTGGGGTGAGCCCGGCCTGTCGGGGGTCGGCCGGGAGGGGCGGTGGGCGTGCAGGTGAGGCCGGAGCCCAGCGGCCCGGGGTCCCGCCGGGCGGCGCGGGGGGCGCGGCGGGGGCGCGGGGCGCGGCGGGGACGCGCGCCCGGGGAAGGTGCGCGGCGCGTGCGGGCCCGCGGGGCGGCGAGGGTGCGGGCCCGCCCCGTCCCGCCCGGCCCGGCCCGGCCCGGCCCGGCAGGTGTGGGCGGGCCGCCCGGACCCCGCCGCGCCAGGCCGGGAGAGCCGGCGGGAAACAGGAAGCGGGGGGAGGGCGCGGGCCGGGCCGGGCCGGGCGTGCGGGCGGGCGGCGGGGCGGCCGGACTCGGCGGGGCCGCGGCGATGTGGGGCGAGCCGGGCAGCGCCGGGGGCCGCGGGGCCGGGGGCGGAGCCGGGGGCGCCGCGGACCCCGCCCCCCTGCGGCGCCGGAGCCGACGCCCGAGCGCCGAGCGGGGCGCGCGGGTGCGGGGTGAGTCCGGGAGCGCGTCCCCCCGACGGGCCGGGGGTGCGGCAGCCGCGCGCGCGCGCGCGGGGGGGCGATCCCGGGGAGCCGCGCGCTCGGGGTGGGGGATCCCGGGCCGGCGCCCCCCGACGGGGCCGGGGGAGCCGCGCGCGCGCAGGAGGGGGCCCCCGGGGAGCCGCGCGCGCGTTGGGGGGGTGATCCCGGGCCGGCGCCCCCCGACGTTGCCGGGGGAGCCTCGCGCGCCGGTGGGGGGTTCCCGGGAGTCGCGCGCGCGGGGGGCGGGGAGTCTCGGGCCCGCGCCCCCCGACGGGCCGGGGCCTCGGGGAGGTCCCGGGCGAGGGCGGGCGGCGGCCGCGGCTGGGGGCGTCGGCTGCGTCCCCGGCTGAGCCCCCTCCCCCGGCCCCGCGCGCGCGCGCCGCGCCTGTCGCCTGCAGACCCCGAAGACGCGACCATGCCGGGCGGGGCCGAGGCCGGGGAGGCCGAGGAGGAGGCCGGCGCGGGGTCGGGGTCCGAGGCGGAGGAGGAGGCGCTGTGGGAGCGGATCGAGGGCGTCCGGCACCGGCTGACGCGCGCCCTGAACCCCGCCAAGCTCACGCCCTACCTGCGCCAGTGCCGGGTCATCGACGAGCAGGACGAGGAGGAGGTGCTGAGCACCTACCGCTTCCCGAGCCGCGTCAACCGCACGGGTGAGCCCGGGGACCCGCCGGCCCTCCTGGGGACCCCTCCCAGGTCGGCCGATCGCGGTGCCCGTTCCCCGCCGCACCCTGCCGACCCGCGCTGCCGACTCGGTCGTCTGGGTTTTGACAGACTCAGGGTTCCCTCCCACTTCCTGGGTCCACATTAAAGCCAGGGGGGTGGTGTTGGGGTGCAGGCCTGGTCTCCCAGCTGGACCTGGGGGTCAGGGCCCTCCCTGGACTTGGCGTTTTTCCTGGACCCTCTGATTTCCTTCTCTCACCTCGCCCATGGGTGACCCCGCTGGGAGAGAAATGACCCAGCCCGGTCCTCTGGGGCGGGGGTCCCCTACACTCACAGGGTGTGGCTTTATGGGGGGCTGGCAAAGGGTGAGGGGCTCCTGGTGGGGTTTTACTCTCCATGGGGGAGTGTGGGAGGGGGCTTCTCAGCTGATCTGTGTGTCTGCTGGGGCGGCCAAGGTGGGGGGGGGGGTCTGGGGAGCGTCTGAGACTGCAGGTGCCCTGAGGTGGGCGTCCTGGCTCTTTTGGCTGTGGGGGTGGAATCACCCCCCAGATGTGTTGAGACAGGCCCAGTGTGTGGCTGAAACATCTGAGGAACGTGGGCCCTGAAGTCCGGGGCTGGAGGGGGGGGGGGTCGAGGCGGAGGAACCGGCCTGTCGGTCAGCGCCCACTGCCCTGCGCTCCCCAGGACGCCTGATGGACATCTTGCGCTGCCGGGGCAAGAGAGGCTACGAGGCGTTTCTGGAAGCCCTGGAATTTTACTACCCCGAGCACTTCACGCTGCTCACCGGCCAGGAGGCTGCCCAGCGCTGCTCCATGATCCTGGGTGAGTGTCCCCTGGCCCCTGGACCCTGCACGGGGCCGAACCATACCAGATGGGAAACCCCCCAACCAGACAGGGAAACTGAGCCCCAGCCCCACCTGAGTCCGGGATTCGAACCCTGTGAGTTCAGTTTGAGCCCACCCACTGCCCATGGCTTCTGCAGAGGGAGGCTCTTGCTTTCTCCGTTGTCCTGCAGGCCCTGGTGAGTTTGTAGCCTGATAGTTTGGGGCGTGATACTTTGCGGGTACAGGGAGGTGGCACCGTGGTCGAGCACTGGCCTTGCAGGGGTGAGGCCCTGGCTTCGATTCTGCCCTCCACCCCCCTACCCCTGCAGGGTTCCCAATACACCACTGGGCGCAATCCCAGAGCACGAAGCTGCCGAGTAGCCCCTGAGCATCTCAGGTGCCCACCCCCAGCCCCAACCAAGCAAAACAAACAAAAAATTCAAGAGACTTAGAAAAATTCAAGCAAGTGACTTGAGAATTCAAATCCCCAAGGGGGCTCGAGCTATCTTACAGCAGGGAGGGCGCTTGCCCCCGGTTCAGTCATGTAGGGTCCCCTGAGCACCAGCAGGAGTAATCTGAGTGCAGAGCCAGGCCGGGCGCCCCGAGTCCCATCCCTGGCCCCAGATGACCTCCTGGGTACCGCCAGGCCTGGCCCCGGGCACCTCAACACACCGGAGCAGAGAGAAACGTTCCCGGTCGAATATAAAGCGCCGCTGTCCCTCCGCCTTCGTCCCCTGCTGACAGTTGGGGCGACCTCCCGTTTCCTCTGCGGTTGCAAACACACGTGCACAGGCGCACCCCGAGCCCTCCCAGATTACGCTGGGTTCGGCTTTTTCTCAGCACGGCCGATCCTGCGGTGGTTCTGTTCCGCCTGCCGCCCCTATCGTCAGTGACCCCTGTGGCCTTTTTTTTTCTTTTTGGGTCACACCCGGCAATTCTCGGGTTCCGAGTAGCCCTGCACTCAGGAATCACTCTTAGTGGTGCTCAGGGGACCCTATGGGATGCCGGGGATCGAACCTGGGTCAGCCCGTGCCAGGCAGGCAAACGCCCTCCCCGCTGTGCTATGGCTCCGGCCTCCACCCTGTGGCCTTCTTGACTGGCTGATCTCCCTGTGGACAGACGGCTGGGTTGGGTTTCCACATCCCTGAGGCGCTGCCAGCCTGCATTTTTGTATCAACGTGTGTCTTTGGAGAAGTTCTGGCAAGTCCAGCCTCTCCACGAGGGTGTATATTCTCGGAGTTCACTTCACAGACGCTCCCCTGCCCCTCCAGTGTATGAGAACCCCCCCTTTTTTTGCTTTTTTTTGGGTCATACCCAGTTTTGCTCAGAGGCTACTCCTGGCTCTGCACTCAGGAATTACTCCTGGCGGTGCTTAGGGGACCCTATGGGGTGCCGGGGATTGAACCCAGGTGGGCCACGTGCGAGGCAAACGCCCTCCCCACTGTGCTATCGCTCTGGCCTTGCGGACCCCCTTTTGACCATTCCCTCACGGGTCCAGCAAATTATTTGAAAACTTTTTTTGCCAGACAGATGTGTGGAAATGCTAGATGGTTGTTTCATTGAAGGATCCAGTTGACGGTGAGCTAGTTAGTAAACCCCACAGAATCTTGCTGCCTTCACTTTCCTGTCTCTGAAATGGGTGGGCTGGGAGGGTGGCTCAAAGGTAGAGGCCTTAGCCTCAGTCCTCCGCATCATGGAAGATAAACTTAAAAATATTCGCCTGTGTCCTCCCTCGAACAGATAATTCCTCTCTTTCCTTTCCCTCCCCTCTTTGTAAGTAAGTTTCAATAAAACTATCTAGCTTTACTGAAAAAAAAAATCCAAATAAAATGGATATAATAGTGGGGCTGGAGAGACAGCACAGCGTGTAGGGCATTTGCCTTGCACATGACTGACCTGGGTTCGATTCCCAGCATCCCATAGGGTCCCCTGAGCACCGCCAGGAGTGATTCCTGAGTGCAGAGCCAGGAGGAACCCCTGTGCATTGCCGGGTGTGACCCAAAAAGAAAAAAAATGGATATAATAGTAACTAGCTAGGATTGTCATGAGGAGTCCGAAAATTAATGAATATATCTAGCACAAAGAGAATTAAAGCCCCAGGTAATAGCATTGGTTGGTATCACTGCTAATGGATTGGAGCATGTTATTCTGTTTTTCTGTGTTTGGAATTTTGCCTAATTGTTTTATTCCGTTGTTTGCCTTTTTTTTTTTTTTTTGCTTTTTGGGTCACACCCAGCAATGCTCAGGAATTACCCCTGGCAGTGCTCGGGGGACCCTGTGGGATGCCGGGGATCGAACCCAGGTTGGCCGCATGCAAGGCAAACGCCCTACCCGCTGTGCTGTCACTCCGGCCCCCATTGCTTGCCTTTTGGGGGGCGGGCGGGCATTTGGGCTATGCCCAGTGGTACTCGGGAGCAAGCACAAGCTCTGTTGCTCTTCCTAGCAGTGCTCAGAGGAGCCAGATGCCACCAGTGAATGAACCAGGGCCACCACATACAAGGGAGCACCTTCGCCCATGGTACAATCTCTCTGGACCCTCCATTGTTTGCCCGTTTTCTTCTTTTTTTATTATTATTTTTTATTTAGAAATTTTTTCTTTTTTTTAATTTAATTTTATTTTATAAGATTGTTCACAATAATTTATTTATTTATTTGCTTTTTGGGTCACACCCAGAGATGCTCAGGGGTTCCTCCTGGCTCTGCACTCAGGAATTAACTCCTGGCGGTGCTTGGGGGACCATCTGGGATGCCGGGGATTGAACCCGGGTCGGCCGCATGCAAGGCAAACGCCCTATCCTCTGTACTATCACTCCAGCCCCACAATAATTTATTACATTCAATATTCCAACACCCACCCCACCACCATTACACCTTGCCACCACCATTGTTTTGAATTTTCCCAAACACCAGCCAATAGCAGGCCCTAAATAACTTATTTTGTATTGATAGCACAGCGGTAGGGCGTTTATCTTGCATGAGGCCGGCCCAGCCAACCCGGGTTCAATTCCTCCGCCCCTCTCGGAGAGCCCGGCAAGCTACCGAGAGTATCTCGCCCGCACGGCAGAGCCTGGCAAGCTCCCCGTGACGTATTCGATATGCCAAACACAGTAACAACAAGTCTCACGACGGAGACCTTACTGGGCCCGCTCGAGCAAATGGATGAACAGCGGGAGGACAGGACGGTGCTACAGAGCTTGTTCTGAATAATTGGCTAAAGAGGATCCACAAAAGTTTCCTTAGAAGAAGGGTGTGTGAAGATTGTTTTAGCTCACCCTGGAGCTATTAAACCCTTTGTATAAGAGATTATTAACATGTTGTTACAGGTTGAGCCTCGTGTGCTAATATTTTTTAACCGAGATTGGTCTCCTACTTGACAGCCCATCCAATGTGCAGTGCTTACTCCTGGTAGATCAGTGGTGTTGAGTCTGAATGTTTGCCCTTCTTTTCTTCTTCTTGATTTGTAGATGCTCTTTATATATTATAACTGAGTCTTTAGGTTTGTTTTCCTTCTTTTTTTTTCTTTTGGGGTGACATCCAGCAACACTTAGGGGTTACTCCTGGTTCTGCACTCAGGAATTACCTCCTGACAGTGCTTGGGAGGACCATATGGGATGCAGGGGATCGAACCCTGGGTTGGCCTCATGCCAGGCAAACACCTTACCCGCTGTGCTATCACTCTCATCCCTAGGTCTGTTTTCTTCTACTTTGTTGCTTATTTTTAAAACTTTTTAAAGAAAAATATGGATATAGGGACTGGAGAGATAGTACAGCCAGTAGGGCCCTTACCTGGCTCCTGGCTGACCCAAACTCAATCCCTGACCTCACATATGGTCCCCAGAGCACTGCCAGGTGTGATCTCTGAGCAGAGCCGGGAGTAAATCCTATACACTGCCGGGTGTGACCCCCAAATAGCACATATGGATACATCTATCTTTTTGTCTGGACTATGCACCTCTTTTAGGAAGAGGTTCCCTACCCTGAAAATAATAATAATAATGATAATAATATTAATAATGTAGCACTGTAGCAGTACTGTCCCGTTGTTCATCGATTTGCTCGAGGGGGCACCAGTCACGTCTCCATTGTGAGACTTGTTACTCTTTTGGGCATATCGGATATGCCACAGGGAGCTTGCCAGGCTCTGCCATGCCGGCGGGATACTCCGTAGCTTGCTGGGCCCTCCGAGAGGGGCGGAGGAATCAAACCTGGGTTGGCCGTGTGCAAGGCAAACGCCCTACCCGCCGCTGTGCTATTGCTCCAGCCCAATGATAACAATAATGATAACAATAATGATAACAAAAACGATAATTATAATAATAATAATAAAGTCCTCAGACTTTGCTTCCGCGCCTCGCCGCCCGGTTCCTCTGACCGCCCTTGCCTCCCGCCGGCAGATGAGGAGGGCCCCGAGGGCCTCACCCAGTTCCTCATGACCGAGGTGCGGCGGCTGCGCGAGGCCCGCAAGAACCAGCTGCAGCGCGAGCAGCAGCTGCAGGCGCGCGCGCGCGGGCGCTGGAGGAGGAGCGCGCGGCGCAGGAGCGGCGGCTGCGGGAGCTGCAGCAGGTGCAGGAGCGCTGCCAGCGGCTGCGCGAGGACTGGGAGGCGGGCAGCCTGGAGCTGCTGCGCCTCAAGGACGAGAACTACATGGTGGCCATGCGCCTGGCGCAGCTCAGCGAGGAGAAGAACTCGGCCGTGCTGCGCAGCCGCGACCTGCAGCTGGCGGTAAGCGGGACCCGCCCCGGAGACGGGCACTGCGCTGGGCCCTGGCAGGTGGGCGCGGGCACTGCGGGCGTCGCGTCCTGCCCCGGACCCCGCGCCTGGGAAACTGCAGGTCGAACACACGCTCATCCATCCTTCCCTCCTTCCCTCCTTCCCTCCTTCCTTCCTTCCTTCCTTCCTTCCTTCCTTCCTTCCTACCTTCCTCCCTCCCTCCCTCCCTTCCTCTCTTCATTCCTTCTATCCTTCCTTCCTTTGTTTCTTCCTTCCTTCCTTCCTTCCTTCCTTCCATTCGTTCGTTCCTTCGTTTCTTCCTTCGTTCCTTCCCTTCATTCATTCGTTCCTTCCTTCGTTCATTCGTTCATTCTTTTGTTCATTCCTTCCTTCCCTTCCTTCGTTCCTTCTTCCCTCCCTTCTTCCTTCTTTAGTTTATTCTCTCCCTCCTCCCTCCCTCCCTCCCTCCCTCCCGCCTTCCTTTCTTCCTTCCTTCCTTCTTTTCTTTGGGGTGGGGGTCTACATCCAGATCTCATTTACAACCAGTTCTGCTCAGGGCTTACTCCTGGCTGGACTTTTTCTTTCTTTCTTTCTTTCTTTCTTTCTTTCTTTCTTTCTTTCTGGGTGGGGGTCACTTCTGGAGGTGTTCAGGGGGGTTCCTCCTGACTCTGCACTCAGGAATCACTCCTGGCAGCACTTGGGGGAGCAGAGGGGGTGTCAGGATTTGAACCCGAGTCCGCCTTGTACAACACAAGTGCCCTCCCCACTGTGCCATCTCTCTGGCCTTTTCTTTAGCGGGTTCATCAGTGATCAGGAGGTCTGGGGACCACTTCCGTTGATGCTCATCTCATGGCCTGGGCCTGATGGGTCACTGCATGGACCCAGAGGATGTGGGGTTCAGGTCTGGGGACCATCAGGTGCCACCCTGCGGCGTTCAGTGGCCACTGCTCAGGGCTCACCCCTAATGGTGCTGGGGGACCGTGTGTGGTGCCAGGGATGAGACCATGTGCAAGGCACTTGCCTCCACACCCTGTGCTATTTCTCGGGCCCGCGATTTAGTGTTTGGTGGCCACAGACAGGCTCCGGGTGACCCTCGCTAAGGCAGGTTCTGCTCACCTGCACCCGCGGGGTCTCAGACAAAACTGTGCCTGGTTCTGGGGGTGAGTTGGGGGTTGCTCTGTGGCATTTGGCATTCGAAGCCACCTGATGCTGTGGGCCTTAGCCATTGCTGTGGCGTGGCAGGGGGTGCCAGTGGCTGGGAGAATGGTGGCCACATGTGAAGCTGTGTTTGCGGGGTGCTGTTGTGTGGGGACTGGCAGGCTTCTGGTTGATGGAAGTGACTCCTGCTCCGTGTGCGGGGCCACCGGGTGCAGCAGCTCAGGGGGTAGTTGACCATGAGTCTGTGCTGGCCCTGGGGCCTGTTTGGTGTTTGGTGTGAGGTCAGGCTGTCGGTTTCTTCATCCTCCGGCAGTGTGTGTGTGTGTGTGTGTGTGTGTGCGCGCGTGCGTGTGCATGTGTGCGTGTGTGTATCCATGTGTGCCTGTATGTGTGCACACGCACCTGTGTTTGTGCTCTTTTGTGATGTGCAGGAGAAGGAGGAAACAGAGAAACACAGATGCAGCCCTGGGGACCCCAGACACGTTCCTTCATGTCCCAGCAAACCCCCCTGGGGCTGGGGTCGGGGGTTAGTCACTGTGATTGTCCCCATTTACGAATGAGTGAACGGGGTCACAGAAAGAGGTGAGCGCCTCCCCCAAGCTGGAAGCATTGTTTGTTTTGAGACCACACTTGGCAGTGCTCAGGGATTACTCCTCACTCTGTGCTCAGGGATCAGTCCTAGATGGGCTCGGGTGATGCTGTGGGATGCCGGGGATCAAACCCAGGTCGGCTCTGTGCAAGGCAAGATCTCTCCCCCTGTGGTTTGCTCTGGCCTTGGAAGCATTTTTTTTTTTGCTTTTTGGGTCACACCCAGCAATGCATAGGGGTTACTTCTGGCTCTGTACTCAGGAATTACTCCTGGCGGTGCTCGGGGTACTCCATGGGATGCTGGGAATCGAACCCAGGTCGACTGCATACGAGGCAAACGCCCTACCTGCTGTATATTGCTCCAGTCCCTGGAAGCATTTCTGAAGTAGCGTAAAGGTAAAGGTTAAGTAGCTCTTGACCTTTAAGGGTCAGGTAAGGGCAAGATGTGGAGCGCTGGGTCCCCCTCTCATCACACCTGGCAGCCTTGGGGACGACTCTCAGACCAGGGCTTGGGAGTCACCTCTAGCAGTGCTCAGGAACAGGTGGCACCAGGAATGTTACCCAGGGCCCTACACCTGCAAGGCTGGGGTCTAACCACTGAGCCACCTCTTTGGCCCCTCTTTCTCTGGGCTGGGGAGGTGGCTCACTGCTAAAGTACTCAGCTTGCATGTGGAGGCTCTGGGCTCCCTCCCCAGTCTTGGGTGCTTGCATACGTAACAGTGACAAGTCCAAGAAAGGGTTCTAAGGGTTCTTCCGCTCAGAGGATAGCGAGGTCACACCGGCCCAGGGGGATGTCTTCGAGGTAGTGCTGGCAGGACTGGTCTCACCCTGGGCTTGGTGACTATGAGCTGGGTCACCGGAAGGAGTGGATATGCATGCGTGGTGCCCAGGGTCTGCCAGGGTGGGGTTGGGGGATGATGACGGGGGCGGGGTTCGGGGGAAGGGGTTTCGGTTCCAGAGCGGGTGCAGTGGGCTGGGCTGGGCTGGGCTGGGCTGGTGGCTGCTTCCTCCCCAGTCAGGGACGAGGGCCGGGGCTGAAATTAACCAGCAGAGAAGATCCGCCTGTCCTTGTCACTTTGCAAAAGGAACAAGGAACAGAGTCCTGGCAGACAGGAGGAGAAATAGCGGCAGCCTGGGCCCCTCCCCGCAGCAGGTGTGTGGAGGCTGGGCTGAATCGTGTGTTTTATAAGGTGCAAATTTAATGAGCTGTTATTTCCCACTATAATTTGGTGTTAAGTGAGCTTGTTTGCCGGGATTACCCGCGTCCGTCAGTCCGTCCCATCTGCATCCCCCGGGCCCGTGGTGGCTGCTCCGGGGGTGGGGTGGGGGGTGGGGGGGCCGCTTCTGGAAGCTTCTCTGTGGCGGCGGGGCTGAGCTTCTGGAGGGTTCGGCCATCGGCCCGGGTGAGCTGCTGCGCTTGGCTGGCTCGGATGTGACCACGCTTGACCTCAGGGCTGGCCGGCCGCTCACAAAGCATGTTTTGTGCGGGGTGAGGTGATGAGTCATCCGTTTCTCTGCAGAGGAGGAGGAGGGGATGGTTCATTCAGCCCTGGGACATATGCAGCCCCCAGATGTGCCTGCCTCCCTGTCCCGGACTGGCGTCCAGCTACCCACCTGCCACCCCTGGGTGGCTGCTGGCCACACACCATGGACAGGGTCAGCCTCTGTCCCCGTCCCTGGCCTGCTTTCAGACCTCGGCTCAGCCCACCCGCGGTCTTGTTTGCAGGGCCTGGGAATGCTGGGAGCAGAGAGGGGTCCAAGATCTGCAAGTCCAGGGGCTGGAGGGATAGCACAGCGGGGAGGGCGTTTGCCTTGCACGCGGCCGACCGGGTTCGATTCCCAGCATCCCATAGGGTCCCCCGAGCACCACCAGGGATCATTCCTGAGTGCAGAGCCAGGAGTCACCCCTGTGCATCGCCGGGTGTGGCCCAAAAAGCAAAAAAAAAAAGAAAAGATCTGCAAGTCCAGAGTCTGGAGCGATAGCACAGCAGGGAGGGTGTTCGCCTTAGGCTGACCTGGGTTTGAGCCCCAGCATCCCATAGGGTTCCTCGAGCACCGCCAGGTGTGATTCCTGAGTGCAGAGCCAGGAGTCGGCCCTGAACCTTGTCAGACATGGCCCCCCAACAAACACAAGGTCTGCAAGTCCGTACTGGGTTCGAGGCAGAGATGGGTCGTCCTGTGTCCTGCGTCCCTGACATACCCCCCTGCCCCCCACTGCCCTGTCACGAGTCACTCTGGTACAGGGGGTGGGACATGGGAGAGAACGCCCCCTTCCTTCCTGGTCCCGGGACCCCTCCCTGAGTGGACACACGCCTTGGCCCAGGTGGATCAGCTGAAGCTCAAGGTCAGCCGGCTGGAGGAAGAGTGTGTCCTGCTGCGCCGCGCCCGGGGGCCCCTGCCCGCCGCGGCCAGCGCCACGGACGAGCGGGAGAAGGAGCCGGACGACGGCCCCGACCTGGTGTCCGAGCTGCGAGCAGAGAACCAGCGGCTGACAGCATCCCTGCAGGAACTGCAGGAAGGCCGGCAGCAGGTATGGCGTGATCCGGGAGCAGACGCTGCAGCCTTCCACCGGCTTGGCAGCTCTTAGCCGTGTGTCTTGGGGTGTGTGGGTAGCCCCTGGGGACCCTAAACAGGGCCTCAGTTTGGGGGGATCATTTTTTTCTGGGCAGCAGGGCCCCCTGGCTTTCCCTGGATGTATGGAAGAGTCTGACTCTGAGTGGCATGGTGGCCTCCTGCGGGTCACTGGGTCACACAGGAAGTCGGGTGTGTGTGGGGGAGCCAGGACTTTGGTGTATCTCAGAGACTCGCGGTGCCTGGCTGGGGGCTGGGGCTGGGGTCCTCGGTCAGCCAGAGGCAGGCGCAGACCTGGGGATCGGGCGTGTGCTGCGCTGGGCCCCGCGAGTCAGCCCGCCTGGTTCTCATTTAGGGCCGGATCCTGGCCGGCTGTCCCGCTGACCTCATCCGCACCCCACATGCTCCGCAGGGGACAGCTGCGGGGTGGGTCCACGCCCAGTGTCCACGCGGAGGAGGGGTGGTGTGTGGGGGGGGCGGGGGACACTAGGGTCCAGAGAGGTCAGGGCTCTGGCTGAGGTGGGCGAGCCGGCCGGGTGGGTGAGTGGCTGGGTGGGTGGATGGGGGGGGGGGGTAGGGGGCTGCGCATGCGCGCCCGAGCGTGTTTCCCGGCGCCCGCCCTGGCCCGGCGCGCCCCTGACCTGATATCCGCAGGAGGCGAGTCGGCCCGGGGCCCCCGGCTCCGAGCGCATCCTGCTGGACATCCTGGAGCACGACTGGCGGGAGGCGCAGGACAGCAGGCAGGAGCTGTGTCAGAAGCTGCACGCCGTGCAGGGCGAGCTGCAGTGGGCCGAGGAGCTGCGCGACAAGGTGGGTGACCCGCCCCCGCGCCCCCCGCGTCCCCGCGCCTCCTGCCCCCGCTGCAGTCCTGCGCGCGTTTCAGATACTGAAGGGTGATCAGAATAGGAGAGAGAGAGAGAGAGAGAGAGAGAGAGAGAGAGAGAGAGAGAGACATGGGGCTGGAGCGATAGCACAACGAGGAGGGCGTTTGCCTTGCACGTGGCCCACCCGGGTTCGATTCCCAGCATCCCATAGGGTCCCCTGAGCACCGCCAGGGGTGATTCCTGAGTGCAGAAGCAGGAGTGATCCCTGTGCATCGCCGGGTGTGACCCAAAAAGCAATTATATATATATATTTATATATGTATATGAGAGACAGAGAGAGAAGAGGTCTGGGGATTACCTCAGTCCTTTGCATCTGCCACACAAATGCATAAGGTCTCGAGTCCGACGCCTGGTGCTACCATACACGCCAAAGACAGTCTAGCAGCTCCACCCCTGCAGCCCCTGGACCCACAGCACAGCCAGGGTGTACAAACACCACCGCTCAAAAGCTGTGTGAGACCCAAAGCCACTGAAACCCAGACATGGACAACTCTGTAACTATGTCTCATGGTGATTCAATTGGAAACATACACACACACACACACACACACACACACACACACACACACACACCCCCCAAAAAAACCCACCTTTTAAGGGGCCAGATAGTACAGCAGGGAGGGCGCTTGTTCTGCCTTGCATATGGCTAGCCCCGGTTTGAAACCCGGCACCCGCGTAAGGCCCCTTGAGCACCTTCAGGAATGATCTCAGAGAGCAGAGCCAGGAGTAAGATACACTTCGAGGGGCCGGAGAGATAGTTCCGGGGTAGGGAACTGAAACCCAGTTACGGACAGCTTTGCAACTGGATGTCTCATGGTGATACCTAGAGTTTTTTTTGGTGGGGGGAGAGGCGGGGGTCAACCCCGGTGAGTCTGGAGGCCTCTCCCAGTGACCCTCAGGACCACACAGCACTGGGACTTCTGCGTGTGCAGAAAACGCTCCAGCCCTCTGGTCGCCTGCTTTGCACACAGCCGACCTGGGTTTTCTTCCCAGCACCTCAGAGGGTCCCTGAGCCCCACCAGGGGTGATCCCAGAGCCAGCAGGAAGCTCCGAGGGCCAACGGGTGTGCCGCCCCCCAAAGAAGTTTCGGAGAGATAATAGAGGACGTTAGGGTCCCTGGCTTTGCACACGTCCCCTGCCGCTCGGTCCCTGGACTGCCAGGGGCCACTCCCGAGCACAGAGCAGGGGTGGCCCCAGAGCACTGGGTGTGGGTACCCCCATACGATTTTTGTTTTTTTTTTTTAAATATTGCACCTGTCCTTTTAATGAGAAATAGGTGAAGTAAATATTACTAAATCAGACTCTGCCAAAAATTTGGGAAATTTTTGATAGTCCAGATGCCAAGGTGGCAACTTTTTTCACTCGTTATTATAATACTTTTTAAAATTTAATTTAATTTTTTGAGATTTTTTGAGCGATAGCACAGCGGATAGGGTGTTTGCCTTGCACACAGCCGACCTGGCTGACCCGAGTTCGATTCCTCCGCCCCTCTCGGGGAGCCCGGCAAGCTACCGAGAGTATCTCGCCCTCACGGCAAAGCCTGGCAAGCTCCCCGTGATGTATTCGCTATGCCAAACACAGTAACAACAAGTCTCACATCACAATGGAGACGTTCCTGGGCCTGCTTGTGCAAATTGATGAACAATGGTAGGACGGTGACAGTGACAGTGAGATTTTTTAAATTGAGTCACTGTGAGCTAGACCCTTCCAAAGCTGTTCATGATTCGGTTTCAGTCATACAGTGTCCCACCATGCATTTTGAGATGCATGTCATGGTTTTTTTGGGAGGGGGCAGGGTTCAACGCTGGTGGTTCTGGAGGCCTCTCTCAGTGACCCTCAGGACCAAGCAGCATTGGGACTTCTGCGTGTGCAGAAAACACTCCAGCCCTGCGTGCTTGCTATACTCATAGAGTGTCCCTTAGGGGGATGGAGCAAGGTGGGTTCGGGGGGTGGGGGAGACTTGCTGGTTTATGCCCATTTCACAGATGAGGCAAACTAAGGCCCAGGGCGGAGAAGTCAGCAGCCTGAGTCTCCCAGCTTGGGACATGTGTGGGCACTCGTCCCTGACCAGATGCCCCTGCGGGGCACCCGTGGCTGGGCTTCCTGCCCCCCTGCCCCTCCCCCCACCGCGGCCTGACACCCCCCTCCCCCGCCCACCCGCAGTATCTGCAGGAGATGGAGAGCTTGCGGCTAAAGCACTGCACGCTGCAGAAGGACTGTGACCTGTACAAGCACCGTATGGCCACCGTGTTGGCCCAGCTGGAGGAGATCGAGAAAGAGCGCGACCAGGTGAGGCCCTCGGGGAAGCCGCGGCGGACGGGCCGAGTTTTCGCGTGCAGGACAGAGCCCAGACAGGCCCTCGCGTGCCCTGCCGCACCTGCCCCTCCTGCGCCCCGGGGACTGGGGGGAGAGTCCAGGCCCTCGGCTCATTCCAGAGTCAGACACAGGCCCGGAACAGGAGGTGCTGGCAAGTATTTGCTGACGAGGAAATTTTCCGGAGTCTGGCTCCTGGCCCCGGGCACCACAGGGCCCTCCCAGCCCGGGGCATGGGCTGGGCACCTCGCCAGCTGCCCTAGGCCCCGGCCTCCCAGTACAAGGGGGGCAGGAGCTTTTGTCTGATTAATTTATTTAGGGCAGGAGCAATAGCACAGAGGGTAGGGCGTTTGCCTTGCATGCGGCCCCTGCGGCCGACGACCCGAGTTCGATTCCTCCGCCCCTCTCGGAGAGCCCGGCAAGCTACCGAGAGTGTCTCGTCTGCATGGCAAAGCCTGGCAAGCTCCCCGTGATGCATTTGATATGCCAAAAACAGTAACAAGTCTCACAATTTGTTGTGAGACGTTACTGGTGCCCGCTCGAGCAAATCAATGGACAACGGGAGGACAGTGGACCAGGGACAGTAGCAGACCTGGGATCAGTCCCCAGCACCCTATGAGGCCTCCGAGGCCACCGAGAGTGATTCCCAAGTGCAGAGTCAGGAGTCACCCCTGAATACCACTGGGCGTGGGCCCAAGTGACCAAACACGCAAAACAAATAAACGTAAATTGATAATTGATTGTGTTCGTTATCAGTTTGGAGAGCCGATGCCAGAGATTGAACCCAGGTCAGCCGCGTGCAAGGCAAGCGCTCTCCCCGCTGGTCTATCTCCCCAGCCTGTTTCATTTTATTTCTAAAAATAATTTTCTCGGGTAAGGGAGATAGATAGTACAGGGGTCAGGCGCTTGCCTTGCCTGGAGCCAACCCTGGTTTGATTCCTGACACTGCACAGGAGTGAGCTGTAAGCACTGAGGCAAGAGTCAGCCCTGAGTACGGAGCCAGGAGTGAGCTCTGAGCACCGAGCCAGGAGTCATCCCTGAGCACAGAGCTGGGAGTAAGCCCTGAGCACAGCCAGGAGTGAGCTCTGAGCACCGAGCCAGGAGTCATCCCTGAGCACAGAGCTGGGAGTAAGCCCTGAGCACAGCCAGGGGTGAGCCCTGAGCACAGAGCTGGGAGTGAGTCCTGAGCACAGAGTCAGGAGTGATCCCTGAGCACAGAGGCAGGAGCGAGCCCTGAGCACTGAGCCAGGAGCCAGCCCTGAATACTGAGCCAGGTGTGAGCCCTGAGCACTGCCGGCTGTGGTATCTCCCCGCCCCTGCAAGAAAACAGTGTTTGGGCCAGAGCCATAGCACAGCGGGGAGGGCATTTGCTTTGCACGCGGTGGACGCAGGTTCGATTCCCAGCATCCCATAGGGTCCCCTGAGCACTGCCAGGGGTCATTCCTGAGTGCAGAGCCAGGAGAGACTGACCCCTGAGCAAAAAAGAAAAGAAAATACTTCCCAAGAAAACAGTATTTGCAGCCAGCCGCCGCCGCCCCAGCCAGAGAGGAGGGGGCAGCCCCCGTGCCCCCGCCCCCGCGCTGACCCCGCGCCTCCTGCCGCCCTCCAGGCCATCCAGAGCCGGGACCGCGTGCAGCTGCAGTACTCGCAGAGCCTGGTGGAGAAGGATCAGTACCGCAAGCAGGTGCGCGGGCTGGAGGCCGAGCGGGACGAGCTGCTGACGTCACTCACCGCGCTGGAGGGGGCCAAGGCGCTGCTGGACGCGCAGCTGCAGCGCGCGGTGGGCGGCGCTGGACTCACGGTGGGTCGGTGGGTCGGGTCAGTCGGGTCGGGTCAGTCGGTAGGAGCGGGGGCGGGGCCCGGGACGCGCGCGCGCTCTCTCTCTCTCTCTCTCTCTCTCTCTCTCTCTCTCTCTCTCTCTCTCGTTTATTTTTTCTATTTTTGGGTCACACCCGGCGATGCCCGGGGGTTCCTCCTGGCTCTGCGCTCAGGAATGACTCCCGGCGGTGCTCGGGGGACCCCATGGGATGCTGGGAGTCGAACCCGGGTCGGCCGCGTGCAAGGCCAACGCCCTCCCCGCCGTGCTATGGCTCCAGCCCCACTAAGACCCTGTTAAACTCTCTCTATGTATGTATGTTTTGGTTATTGGTTCACACTCAGCGATGCACAGGGGTTACTCCTGGCTCTGCGCTCAGGAATGACTCCTCGCAGTGCTCAGGGGACCCTGTGGGATGCCGGGGATGGAACCCGGGTTAGCCGCGTGCAAGGCAAATGCCCTACTCGCTGTGCGTCCTACACTCCGGCCCAGCCCAGGATGCTCTTAGCTGGTGCGGGGAGCCCTAGCTGTGGGGCATGGGGCTCGAACACGCAGGATGGGGAGGGAGGCGTCCACATGGGGTGGGGGTAGGGAACCCCTTAGCTGGGCGTGGGGAGAAGCCGGTTGTGGGAGGGAATCTGGGAGGTTCCGGCTGGAAGCCCCCCACAATTGGAGATACTGAGGGGCCAAGTCTTTTTTTTAATACTATTTAGCTCTTTTTTTTTCTTAATTTTATTTTGTAGACTTACAGATTTTTGTGCTTGGGTTTCAGTTATACAATGATCGAGTACCCATTCCTCTGCTGGGAGACTTTTATTGCATGGGTGTGGGGGTTGTTTGCTTTCTGGGGGCCACACTCGATGGTACTCTGGGGTTACTCACTCCTCAGTGCTCGGGAGTCAGTCCTGGCAGTGCGTGGGGGACCATGCGGTGCCCGGGATAGGGTGGCCTCGGGGTGCAGAGCCTGGCTGTGGGCTTTTGGTTCTCTCTCCAGATTAGGGGGAAGGGCTTTCTGTGTGTTTGGTTTGTGTTTTGGGGAGCCGGGGTCCGAGCCCAGGGGAAGGACGCAGATCTCCAGCTCCTGCCCTGGGTGGCCCTGGCGGGGGTGGGGAGGCGTAGGCATCTCTGCCTTTGGGGGTCCCTCCCGGAACCGGAAGGTGAGGCAGACGCTGCTTTGGCTCAGAGGCCACGCAGGTGTCCTGGACGCGGACTCCGTGTCCCTCAGACTCCGTGTCCCTTACCTAAGCCCAATTTCTTTGTCCTTCAGGGCTCGTGTGAGCCTGGAGAAATCCCAGGAAGCATCAATCTGGGATATTGTTTTTCAAAACTCTTTTGTTCTTAGGTAGAGAAAAAGCTCCTCAGCATGTCAGGGCCTACCTCCCCGCTGGTCCACCCACCCTGCCTCCTTCCTGGGTCTCACCATCCTGCCCCAGGCCCTTTGCACATGCTGCCTCTCACGTCAGCTTGTCAGTGCCAACTTGTTCCTGGAGATCTCTGATCAAACCCTTGTTTTATCTGGAACGTGCCCCCATGCCTCTAGACTGGGTGGCCCCTGCCCTGCCCTGGACACCTTCCTCCCTGCCTCTCTTGGCAGCTTGGCCTTTGTTTTCGCCAACCCAGCTTGTAGGCTCGCTGAGGGCGGGGCTCTGGGTACAGCCGGCTTCTTGGGAGGTGGGACATCAGCGCTGGGCTTGGGGCAGCTCTGACCCGACCCCCCCCCCCCGGCTGACCCCCATGCCTCTCCCCCAGGCCTGTACGTCCTTCCATTCCCTCTGCTCCAATCACAGCAGCACCTGGAGCCTGAGCGAGTTCCCCTCCCCCCAGGGGGGCCCGGACGCCTCCGGGGAGTCGGCCATCACGGGGGGCTCCGAGCCCCACACCTCGGTAAGAAAGACCCCCGCACTCCCCACGTCTCGGCGTCGGGGCGGCCTCGGTTTCACTTGACGGCACGAATGACTCACGCCGAGTGTGAGGGCTGCTTCCTGCCCCAAGAGCTCGGGGGGCCACTAGGGTCACGCGCCTTATTTAATACCGCTAATATCTCGGGGCCGCTGGGGAAGGGGGGGGCTTGGACCCAAGTCACATGTGTGCACGGCACATGCTCTGCCTGAGCCTCGTCCCAACCTCCTCATTGTCCCTTTTCTTCTCTGGGGGTCACGTCCAGTAGGGCTGGAGGGGGCAGGTCAGTCCCAGAAACACTCAGGCCTGGTGGTTTGGGGGTGGGCTGGGACCCCCGGTGCTGGCTGGCCACCAGGCACATAACCCGTGGTGCTTGGGGGGGAGGGGGAATGTGTCCCTGGGCACTGAACTCGGGGTCCTGTTGCACTTGTTGGGCTGAGGCTTTCCCACCCCCTAGCACTGTAAGGATAAATTCGTATCACTGTATCACCGTCGTCCCGTGGTTCATCGATTTGCTCGAGCGGGCGCCAGTGACGTCTCCACTGGTCCCAGCCTTGAGATTTTCGCAGCCTCCTGACTCGTCCTTCCCAACTTCTGCCCTAGTGGAGGCTCTTTCAGGGTCAGGGGAATGAGGCCCGTCATTGTTACTGTTTTCGGCATATCAAATACGCTATATAAATATATTTATTATTATTATTATATATTTGCTTTTTGGGTCCCACCTGGCGATGCTCAAGGGTTCCTCCTGGTTCTGCACTCAGGAATGACTCCTGGTGGTGCTCGGGGGACCCTATGGGATGCCGGGAATCGAACCCGGGTCGGGCCGCGTGCCAGGCAAACACCCTCCCCGCTGTGCTCTCACTCCGGCCCCCCCAGCACCATATTTAAGCTCAGCCAGAGCCCCCGCGACCACCCCGCAGAGCCCCCTCCTCAGCCAGGTGTGCAGGGCAGGGGGCGGGGTGCGTGCGGGGTCCCAGGCCGTGCTGTGACTTGCAGGAGGAGGCCACGGACAGCGAGAAGGAGATCAACCGTCTGTCCATCCTGCCCTTCCCGCCCAGCGCTGGCTCCATCCTCCGGCGGCAGCGTGAGGAGGACCCCGCCCCCCCCCAAGAGGTACCTGGATGGGGCGAGCCGAGGCAGAGCTTGGGCAGGGCTGGGGCTGCTGGTCCCAGCAGTCGCCTCCCCGAGAGCCCCAGATGTCCTGGCCCCACTTCAGGGCCCCCCGGGGGCCACCACCCCAGGCCATCAGCAGCTGAGAAGGTCACGGGTCGTGAGGTCGGACCTTGACCCCCCCACACCCCGGAATGCACAGAATCCTGAGGGTTCCCGTGTGGGACGCATGGGGACAGGTCCGGCGTCAGGGGTTTCAGACCAGAAGCGGGGCCCAGGGCAGGGGGGTTCAGCCACACACTAAGGCCAGACCCGGTGGGTAGGTGTGAGGTGGGGTGGCTTCCTGCCTCCCGGGGTCTCCCCATTCCACCCTCACGGCTCCCCTCGGCTCTGAGGTGTCCGAGGCCTGGTGAGATGCGTGAGCCCGCGTGGCTGGGCCGGCGTGTGCAGGGGTGACTGTGGGCCCGGATGATGGGGGTCGGGGGGGAGGGGCCGCACCCACTGAGACTCCTCATCCCCTGCAGGTCCTTCAGCAGCATGTCCGACATCACAGGTGAGGCTGAGGGGTGAGGGGGCTTTTGGGCCCCGCTTGAGACCACCCTGTGTCCCTGGGCCGACCGGAAGGTCCCTGCGGGGGTGGGGGTCACCCTGCGTCCAGCCCAGCCCCTCCCTGCCCCCCCCGCCCCCCACTTCCTCCCCCTCCTCCACCTTCTTCCAGAAAACTGAAGGTTCCCCTGGCCTGGCCTGGCTCTGTCCCCCCCACCCCTGTAGCCCCAGGCCCTGGAGGGACCCCCGCTCCGGCCTCAGCCTGCACCCCTGAACCCCATTCATTCCCCCCCAGGAAGTGTGACCCTCAAGCCCTGGTCGCCTGGCCTGTCCTCGTCCTCGTCCTCCGACAGCGTGTGGCCACTGGGGAAGCCGGACCTGCTCAACAGGTAGGTACAATGAGGCTCGGCCGGGAGGCGTCACCCGCCAGGCCCGGACGGTGGCGGCTGTCCGGCCGAGGGGACAGTCCGTTGGGTTCCGTTTCCTCCCCGACTGCCGTTGGCCGTGCCCGGGTGCCCGCCCCGGCCGTGCGTCCGCCGTCCCTGTCGCCCACCTCTGTCTCCCGTGACTCTTGGTGACGGGCTGCTCAATCCTCTCCCTGCCCCGCCCTGGGGTGCTCGGAGGCACAGCCCCCAGCTCTCTGCTTGTGCTGGGAGGTCACACCCCCAGACAGTGCTCCGGAACGACTCCTGGCCCCGTGCTCGGGCGACCAGGCAGGGCTGGGGATGGAGTCCGGGCCTCTTGCATGCGAAGCCTGTGCCCAGCCCAGCGCGGCCCAAGTCCCGAGCCAGGCGCGCATACAGTAGGTGCTTAATAAGTGCCTGTCCTTGCACCAGCCTTGTGCTGCCTCCCCACTGCCCCTTCCCGGCAGTCACTCAGTTGCTTGGCAGAGCAGCAGGGTAACTGGAGGCCCCCCGGGAACCCGCCCGGGTCGTGGCCTCCAACCCTGAGTTCAGTGTGTTGTGGGTGGGGACTTGAGTGGCCGGAGCGAGAGAGCAGAGGCTGGCCGGGTCCGGAGGTTGGAGGATGAGCGGGCGGAGAGGTGGCCAGGAATGTGTGGACTTTGGCCGGCGCGCCGGACCCACCCGGGGCCGGGCTCAGCTCTCTGGCGCTGCTCTGGGTCTTCCTGTTTTACTGAGGGCGGGGGTGGTGGGGGGAGGCCCAGAGAAGTCAAACCACCTGCCCGAGGTCACACAGCGCAGCCCCGGCCGCCCCCTCAGTTCTCGCCAGCAGAGGAGCTGTGGGCGCGGGGAAAGGGCCTCTAAGCACCAAATGTCAGACCTGCGGAAGGTGCGGGCAGGTCACACGCGACGGGCTGAGCCGGCCTGTTGGCTGGCCACCCCGCCCCCCCCAGGCAGTGCTCCCGGTGAGACATTGTTTCTCCCTGGCGGGCAGGACGTGCTTCTCCGGGAAGGGGCGCGGCGCCTCCCTTCCTGCCTGTTCGGCCCTTCCTCCCCCTGAGGCCGGCTGCAGGGGTCCTGGCTGCTGGCCAGGGGCCTGGCAGAGGTCCAGAGAGAGGGAACAGGATGCTCTGGCCCAGGCCCTGGGGGCTCCCAGGCTCATCCACCACCCACGGTGCTCCTGGGCCAGCGGGGACAGGGGTGATGGACCCGTCGAGCAGGAGGGGTCAGCGCCCAGCAGTGGGTGCAGACTGGACTTCGGAGCTGCCTGAAGTCCTGGCTCTGTCTCAGGCTCCTGCAGGACCCGGCAGGTCAGAGTCCGGCCTCTGTTCTCTGCCCTGTGAAATGGGTCACAACAGCACCAGCCCCCTTGGTGTCGGGTCCCCGGTGGTAGCCATGGTAGGTTCCGGGTTCCAGTATTTCTAGGGGAGTGCCTGGGTGTGTCCTGGGCCTGGGGGGGGGGTGGGGAAGCCAGAGGCGACTCTGCTGGCCAGCGACCATCGAGGAGACTCAGAGTATCCCCCAAGGTGCCTTTTTCAGTCCCATTATACAGATGGGGAAAGTGAGGTCCGGAGAGTTGGCTGTGGGTATCAAGCTCCAAGTGGCACTTAGGACTCCGCAGAGCCCGTCTTCCTTCTAAGTGACTTTCGCTTTGGTGGTGGAGGTGGGGTTTGTTTACCTGGTGGTGCTGGGCCTTGAACCCAGGGCCCCTGCAGGCCTCTCCGCGCCTTGGAGCGTCTGTCTGGCGTTGGATGCTTGCTGCACGCCGCCGGGCCTTTGCAGCCCTTCAGGGGGTACAAGTGAGCAGAGGTCAAGGGCACAGTGCCATGCCGAGGGGAGGTCCTCCAAGTCACACCTCATCCCAGTGACCGCTGATGTTTTGGGGGGCCACAACGGGGGTACTCAGGGCTGACTCCTCGCTCAGTGCTCAGGGATCACTCGGGACTAGGGGGTTCTGGGGATCGAACCCGGGCTGAGCACGTGCTTAGCAGACACCTCCCCTGTCGCTCTGTTGCTCCGGCCCGAGTGTTGTTTGCGGGTGGGGGACTCTTCAGCAGTGCTCAGGGGTTGGGAGTAGCTTTCCCAATAATGCTGAGCCAATCGGGCCCGATCCTTCAGTGCTGACAGACACCGGTGCTGGAGGGGGGGTCCGTGCTACTGGGGGTTCGACTTGGGGTCCTGCCCCTGCACCCCAGCCCGTGAGCTCCTTCCTGGCCCCAAGTGTCTTGTGTTTCTCGAACCCATGATTCTTCTCCCGAAAAGCATCCCAGTGGGAACCCACCTAGTCGTACAACTGGGGGGCTCCGTGTCTCCAGGCAGGGAGACCAGGGATTAGAGCCTTAGCAGCCAAGAAGATGCTTTGCACCCACAGTTCCTTCTTTTTTTTTTATGCTTTTTGGGTCACACCCGGCGATGCACAGGGGTTCCTCCTGGCTCTGCACTCAGGAATTACTCCTGGCGGTGCTTGGGGGACCCTATGGGATGCTGGGAATCAAACCCGGGCCGGCCGCGTGCAAGGCAAACGCCCTCCCCGCTGTGCTATTGCTCTAGCCACCCTCCACCGTTCCTTCTAACTCCTTTTTTTCCAACTTTCTGGCCGCCTCCTTCTGAGGGAAGCCCTGAGTCTGCGCCCAGAGGGTCTCGAGACAGACTGGATCCCGAAGGGTGGGGGGGGGGCTCATCCTTTCTCTCCAGCACCAGTGCTGGTTGGGACCCAGAGAATTGCACAGCCCACTGAGGAGAGGCCTGCAGGTGGGCGGGGGAGGGGGCCAGACCCTCCCTCCCCCCACTCCGGCTGTGTGTGTGTGTGTGTGTTTTGGGGGTGAGGGAGGTGCTGTGGTATTTGCTTTGGGGAGCCCGTGGCTGTGAAGCAAGAGTCTGGTCTTCTACCCAAGTCCAGGACACAGTTCATGTGGCTTTGGGGTGTCCCTGCAGCCCGGCCCAGTCCCGCGTTCCCGGCTCAGCGCAGGCCTGTCCCCAGCACGCCGCCTCCTCGCAGCCAGGATAAACCCGGGCTGAGGGCGCCTGGGGAGCACTGCGCCAGCCCTCCCCTCTTGGGCCCGTTCTCTGTTTTGCTTATTTGGTGTTTGGGGCCGTGGTCCAGCAGGCCTGGGGGCGACTCCTGGCTTGGTGCTCAAGGGACTGTGTGCTGCCAGGGTAGGAGGTCGGGACACCCATGTGGAAAGCCCGAGTGATAGTGCAGCTTGGAGGGCGTTTGCCTTGCACACAGCTGACCCGGGATCGAACCCCAGTCTCCCATGTGGTTCCCCGAGCCCCGCCAGGAGTGATCCCTGAGCTCTGAGCCAGGACTGAGCCCTGAGCACTGCTGGGTGTGGCCCAAACACCCAAAGCAAGCAAACGGGCAAGCAGGACCCAGGTCCTTCGAGACATCCCCCCTCCCCTAGCTCTCTGCTGTTGTGTTTTGCGGGGGGGGGGGGGGGGCTTTGGGGGCCACGCCCAGCAGTTCTCAGGTGCTGGTCTTGGCTCTGGTGTCTGGGATCAGGCCAGAGGTGGCCACATTACATGCAAAGCAGGCGTCTTACCCGCCTACCGCTGCTGGCTGGGTTTGGAGTGAATACATAGGAGCTATGACGGGCTTGCCCCCCCCCCGATACTCCACACAGGGTCCCAAGACCCCCTTGTGCTGACTGGGTAGAGGGTCTTGCCAGCGGGGGGCAGGGCAACTGGGCCCCTTTATTTTGTGCCTCCCACGGCTGGCTTGGGCCGGCTTTTCTGGGAGCTGTTTCCCAGGGTGTTAAATTAGTTAATTAGGACGAGCATCATGGCTTCGTGTCTGGCACATGCCGAGTGCCAGCCAGCAGCGCTATTATTGTCGTTGTTATTAAATTCTTCCGCATGCCCCATGCTCTGCCTTCACACCTTTGCTTGTGCCTGCCCTCCTGCCTAGAGCACCCCCGGCTCTTTTCTGCCTGTTCCAGCCGCTGCTTCCTTGGAGAACCTGTGCCCCTCCGTTCCTCGATGGCCCCTGGGAGTGTCTGATCCGTGTCATGTGCTCATGGTGACCCTTTCTGTAGGCTGGGCAGAACGAGCCTTTGACGTGTCCTTGCCTGGACTCCAGACGCAGTGCTCGGTGTGAGGGCTCAGAGCTGGGTGTGGAGCTGACAGGCTGTCAGAGGGCGTTCTTCCTGCGGGAGGAGACGAGGGGCCACATAACGGCAGTTGACCCTGGTCTGATGCCCAGCACCATCAGATAGAAACAGGCCAGGGGCTAGACGGTAGTACAGAAGACAGAGAGGAGATAGCACAGCAGGTAGCGCACTGGCCTTGCACATGGCTGACCCGAGTTCGAGCCCCGGCAGCCCGTAGGGTCCCCCGAGCTCCTCCAAGGGTGATACCTAAGCGCAGAGCCAGGAGGAAGCCCTGGGCACTGCTGGGTGTGGCCCCCCACAAAACCAAACATGAGCCAGAAAGCAAAAATGGAAGCATCAGATCCCAGGGCGGAGCCTGGGACAGTGGCTTTGGGTCCGAACATTGAAGGAGAAGCAGTATTTTTTGTTTTTGTTTTTTTCTTTTTGGGTCACACCTGGAGATGCACAGAGGTTACTCCTGGTTCATGCACTCAGGAATTACTCCTGGTGGTGCTTGGGGGACCATATGGGATGCTGGGAATCGAACCCAGGTTGACCACATGCAAGGCAAACGCCCTACCCGCTGTGCTATCACTCCAGCCCCAGAAGCAGTATTTTTTGGGATGGGGACGGAGGGCCGGGCTGCAGCGGCCCCCGTGGGCATCGTGGGTCCTGGGGCCATCAACTCCCGTTCCCCAAGAACCACGTCCTGGAGCTCTGAATCCCCATCCTCCACTTTTCTCAGCTCTTTGGCCATCCGCGTGTCCGGCCGGAGCCCCCCAGGAGGGCCTGAGTCCCAAAGCAGGGGTCCTGATGGCCTGTCTCTCCTGGCGGACAGCTGGTCTGGGGCCATGGTGCGGAGGGTGATGTCGGGACCGGGATCTGCCCGCGTGGAACCCAGAGAGGTGAGGCCACGCCCACTTGGGGGGCGGGGGTGGGGCTGTCGCTGGGCACCCTGTGATTGGTGGATTTTTAGGAGTGGGCGGGCAGGGGCGGGTTCAGCAGCGCCAAGTGCGTTCTGATTGGGGCAGGGCCTGGGAGGTGGAGCCGCCTGGGCGGGTCGATTCCCGGGCCTGAGTCTTGAAGAGAAGTGGATGCCCCGAGTCTGGGTGTGTACTTGGGGGTCTGGATTCTTGCTGAGCTCACTGGGGTCCTCTCCCAGCCCCGGGCAGAGGCTGGCCTGGAAGGGGAGCTGCAGCAGAGAACCTTGACCTGGAACCAGACGTCCACCCTCCCCTGCTTGCTGGACTCCAAGGGTGAGTGTCCCGGGTTGCCGCGGGAGGGTCGTGCAGCTCTGGGCCGGGGCCGACCACCAAGGCTGGGAGGGATCCCCCTCCTCCCCAGCCTCGCCTGGCTCCTTGGCACTGCCCCTTTCGCCCTCCGTGGCCCCTGGCCGGGCGTGTGTATTGTTTTATTCTATGCAGGGAAGGGCCGGGCCGGGGTTCAAGTCCTGGTCCGGGCTCCCTTTTGGAAGGGGCTTCCCGGCCCTCGCCCCTCGCCTGACCTACCCCTTCTCGCGTCTCCTCCACCTCTCTGCCCATGCCCAGCCTACCAGTCCTTCCACGAGGCCCTGGACGCCTGGGTGAAGGGGGCGGGCACCGAACCCTTCTACATCCGCGCCAACCTCAGCCTGCCCGAGCGCGCCGACCCCCACGCGCTGTGCGTGAAGGCGCAGGAGATCCTGCGGCTCGTGGACCCCGCCCACAAGCGGAGGCAGGAGTGGTTCTGCGCGCGGGTGGACCCCCTGACACTGCGGGACCTGGACCGGGGCACCGTGCCCAACTACCAGAGGTGATGGGGGTGCAACCTGGGGCGGGGGGTGGGGCGGGCGGCCGGGTGGGCTGGAGGAGAGGGGCGCGGGGCTCCCCTTCTCCGCGTGAACTCTCGCGGGATTTCCCCCCCCCCACAGAGCCCAGCAGCTCCTCGAGGTCCAGGAGAAGAATCTGCCCTCCGGCCGGCACCGGGCCCCCCGCAATAATGTAAGCAGTGGCGCTTTGGGGGGGAGTCAGAGGGGAGAGGCCAGCCCCATCCAGGCAGACGCGTGGGCAGCTGGGAGAAGCGCCCTGTCCTCCTGCCCAGGATAGGACTAATTGCATCCACTGTCCAGGGCAGTTCAGAGGACCCAGGGAGGCTGTGCCCAGTGCCAGGAGCATGCCAGGGACACGCCCCCATCACAGAGCACCCCCTTTGTGCACGCTCTGTCAACACCAGGCTGGGGGGTCAGTGACCTCCAGGCCAAGGTGACGGGGTTGAGATCGGGGCGATTCTCAACCACCCAAAACGGAACCCCGGCCCTGCGGGCTCAGCTGGCTCCTGACCCGCCCCCTGCAAGCTCTTCCGATCTTATTTAATTTTGTTTGGGGGTTACACTTAGCAGTGCTCAGGGCTGACTCCTGGCGCCACACTCTGGAATGACTCCTGGCGGTGCTCAGGGGACCCTGTGGGATGCCGGGGATCGAACCCCGGTCAGCCGCGTGCAAGGCAAACGCCCTGCCCGCTGTGTCCTGGCTCCGGCCCCGCCCCTGATTTCCCGACTTGGAGAGGTTGTGGCCTGCAGTGAGTCCCCCGCGTGTCCGTGTATAGGCATGTGTCCGTGTGCAGTGCGATGTGTGCTGCAGCGTGTGCAGAGGGGCGAGGCCTTGTATGCATGTGGTTAAAGCACGTGTGTGACATTGGGTGTATGTGTTTGACGTGTCTGTTTGTGAATTGTGTGTGTGTGACATAGTGTATACGTATGTTATGAGGTGTAAGTACCTATGTGAGGTAAGCATGTAGTTTGTGACGCGTACACGACAGGTGTATATGTGTGTGAGGTGTGTGATGCAGTGTGTGCCTAGGTAGCAGGGTGCCGGGGTGTATATGTGTGTATGTGACACTGTGTGTGTCACACAGTGATGTGTGTGACATTTTGTGTGTGTGTGTGTGGTGCAGTGTGTGCCTGTGTAGCGGTGTATGTCTGTGTGTGACATTGTGTGTGTACCTGTGTGCGATGTGTGTGACATTGTGTGTGTGACGTGTGTGTGGTGCAGTGTGTGCCTATGTAATGCAGTGGTATAGGTCTGTGTGTGACATTGTATGTGTGTGATGTAGTGTGTGCCTGTGTAGTGGTTGCCATGGTGTGTGTGTGTGTGTGTGTGTGTGTGTGAGAGAGAGAGAGCTGTTGCGTGTGTTGGGATCATGTAAGTTGCGGGAAGTGACCCCAGCATCGTGTCCCCTTGGCCGTTGTCCCCATCTGTGGCCTGTGTCCCCATCAGCTCGGCTCCTCTCACCCTACCCCCCCTCCCAGGTTTCCTGTCCCACCCTCGCCTGCCTGGAGGGCTGCCTCGTGCATCTGGGGGGTGGGGGACCCTCTGCTGGGTTCCGTTTGCTCCTTTCCCAAAGCTGAGTCCTGGGCGCTTCCTCCCTGACCCTCCCCCCACCCCCAGCTGAAGAAGCGAGCCCTGGACCAGCTGCGGCTGGTGAAGCCCAAGCACACGGGGGGCACTGCAGGGGACGCCCCCGAGTCGCTGCTGCTGGAGCCGTGTGCGGGTGAGTGCCAGGCGGGGGCTGGGGCCTGGTCCAGCCGATGCCCCAACGCTCCCCTCCCACACACAAGAAGTTGTGGGGCCCGGGAGGGAGAGGGGGCCCCCTCCCAGCATGCTGGGACCCCGCATGGGAGGCATGTGGGTGTGGCTGTGGGTGGGTGAGTTGGGCAGAGCAGGGTCTTGGTGCTTCTCGACTGTCCAGGGCCCACGTGTGAGGTCCCCAGACCGGGTTCTTGGCAGCACTGGGGTGAGATGAGGCCTTGAGCTGCTCCAGATAAGGGGCCGGGGAGTTCAGAGGCCGGACTGTCAATTCCGGAGAGCAGGAGGGGAGAGGGGCTAGGGATTGGCAGGGTGGGCTTTTTGCCTGGGGTCTTGGAGGATGAAGAGGAGTTCATCGCCGACAGAAAGCACATTGTATGCTTGCTTCCGATGGGAGGACAGCGTGTGCTGCTCTGCCGTGCACCCAGGTGACCCAGGGCCTCGGGTCTGTGTGGGACTCACTGCTCTGTGGTGAGAGAGGCTGGTGCCTGATGCTTAGATGTCCCTAGGAACACAGTTACAGAGAGTGACAAACTGTGGAGGAGAGCTGGGGTGTCCTCCCCCAGGGGAGAGTGAGGTTCGCTGTCCAGAGGTCAGTGCGGGGCTGTTGCCACCTTGGAGTGTGCGGACGCCCATGGTTGGGGGTCTCTGAAGGCAGGCAGGAGGGCAGCAGAGGCCGTGAGGGCGCAGGGCTGGCGGCCTCCAGGCTCTGGCGTGGCCGGGGTCCCCCAGTGATGCAGGGTGTGGCTATTTTACGTTTGAGAGGGGACAGCGATGGCACTGCCCAGCATTGACTCCTGGCTCTGTGCTCGGGAGTCGCCCCTGGTGGTGCTCAGGGATCACAGCAGTGCTGGGCCTGAACCCCCACCAGCCACATGCAAATCAAGCACCTCCCACTGTTCCCTCTCCAGTGTCGCGGTGGTGTTTGGTGGTGCCGGGGTTGAAACGCAGAGTCCCACACAGCCTCACAAGTGGCCCTGACACACCCCATAGCTCTGGGGTGCGGCCGCCTGCCCCCTCCTCTCCTCCCCCCTCCCGCTCTCCCACCTCTCTCCTCTCTTTCCCCTCCCCCTTCCTTCCTTCCTTCCTTCCTTCCTTCCTTCCTTCCTTTTCCTTCCTTCCATACTTTCCCTCCCTCCCTCCCTCCCTCCCTCCCTCCCTCCTCCCTCCCTCCCTCCCTTCCTCCCTTCCTCCCTCCCTCCCTCCCTTCCTTCCTCCTCCCTTCCATCCTTTTCCTCCTCCCTCCCTCCTTCCCTCCCATCCTTTTCCTCCTCCCTCCCTCCCTTCCTTCCTTCCTTCCTTCCTTCCTTCCTTCCTTCCTTCCTTCCTTCCTTCTTTCCTTCCTCTCTCTGCCTTCCTCCTTCCTTCCTCCTTCCTTCCTTCCTTCCTTCCTTCCATCCTCCCTCCCTCCCTCCCTCCCTCCTCCCTTCTTCCTTCCTTCCTCTCATTTATTCTTGGTGGCCGGGGACGCTGCCGTGAAAGTGGGGGGACACACAGGTGCTGGCTGGGGGCCTTAGGGGGTGCGTTCTACCTGCTTTGCCGTCAATGGCCTGTAGGGGGCGAGGATGAGGCAGAGGATCAGGCAATAGGGTCAGTACTGAGAGAGACACACAGAGATAAGAGACAGAGAGACAGAGAGAGGAGGCAGCTGGCCTGAGCCCCGTTCCTCCCGCCGGCCCCCGCAGAGCCCCCGCAGAGCCTCAAGCCCTACAGCCTGGTGCGACCCCTCCTGGTGCCCGCCCTGCGCCCGGTGGTGCTTCTCCCCGAGTGCCTGGCGCCCCGGCTCATCCGCAACCTGCTGGACCTGCCCAGCTCCCGCCTGGACTTCCAGGTGTGCCCGGCAGGTGAGTGGGGGCCGCGTGGGGTCGGGGGGGCCCGGGGCAGGCGGGGGGTGGGGGGGGTCTCTGGTGCAGCCGCTCTCGTCTCTGCCGCAGAGAGCCTCTCGGGGGAGGAGCAGGGCACGTCCTCGGCCCCCCGGCGCCCCCAAAGCCCGGCCGGCCACCCCTGGACTGGGCAGCAGGATCCGCGCCATCCAGGAGTCTGTGGGGAAGGTAGGTGGGGGCGCCCGAGGGCCGTGGGACCCAGGGGGGCTGCAAAGTGACCCCACATGGGGGGCTGCCCGCTCACCTCTCACGCCCCCCCAAAGCTGATGGAGTCGGGGTGCCTGGAGGTGGACTTCGGGGTGGGGGGGGGACTAGCTCTGCCCCGCAGTGGGCGGGCTTGGGAGAGGGAGTGAGTGACCTCCTTGGGGGGTCGGCACTCAGGGGACCCTGCGGTGCTGGGGAGGAGACCGGGGCTCCCACGTGAGAATTGGCACTCGGCCCTTTGCGCCACTTCCCTGGCCCGGAGTGACCCCGCCAGGCGCCACTCACCTCTTGGCCTCTGTGTCGGGGTCTGGGGGGTGGGCAGGGGGCCTTCAGGGGATGGTCCCAGCTCTGCCCTGGTCTTGCGGCAGGGGGGTGGGCGGGCGGGGCGTTTCTGGGCGGGAGTGACTGAGCTCTGCCCGAGCAGAAGCACTGCCTCCTGGAGCTGGGCGCGCGTGGCGTGCGGGAGCTGGTGCGGAGCGAGATCTACCCCATCGTCATCCACGTGGAGGTGACAGAGAAGAACGTCCGGGAGGTCAGGTGCGTGGGCGGGTCTCCGCCTCTTGGGACCTTTTTCTTGCGGGGGCGGAGGGGGCAGGAAGGGACTGCAGGGCTGCTCCTGGTCATACTGAGTCAAGAGGTCCAGGCTGACGGCTCCATGCCCGGGCGGGGTTGGGGGCCACCAGGACCACTTGGCCGTGCTCAGGGTCCACAGTGGTGGTTATGTCGGGGGGGCTTGGGTGCTGGCGGGCCTCGCGGGCCCAGCTCAGTCCAACCCCCGCGCTGCCTGTGGTCCTCGGAGCGCCACCCGGGAGTCAGCCCGGAGCACAGAGCCAGGAGTCAGCCCTGAGCATCGCCGGGTGTGGCCCCCCAAATGACGACGGGGAACCAAACAAGGGCGGGGACTCGAACTCGGCGCCTCACGCCGGCCCAGCCTGAGCGCCAGCACTCGGGGGGCCTCCCCGAGCCCCTCTCCCTGTCTCCTTCTCTCCCCACCTGCCCGTCTGTCCCTCCCCGTCGTCCCGTGTGTCCCCGGTCGCCACCCACCGGGCGCTCTTCTCTCGGCAGGGGCCTGCTGGGCCGGCCAGGCTGGCGGGACTCGGAGCTGCTGCGTCAGTGCCGGGGGTCCGAGCACTCCCTGTGGGGGCTGCCGTGCTCCTGGGCGCAGGTGTCGGCGCACGCTTGGACCCACGGCGAGGAGCTGGCCAAGGTGGTGCGCGGCCGCATTCTGCAGGAGCAGGCGCGCCTGGTGTGGGTGGAGTGCGGCAGCGGGGGCGGCGGCGGCCCCGGCTGCAGCGAGGCCTGAGCGGGGACCGTCCCCGCGGGCACCGGCTCCCAAGCCCCTCGGACTCGGGGACTCTCGGGCGGGGGGGCGCCCTGGCTTTCCCGCCGTTCCTGTTCTTGCTGCTCTCTCCCTGCCACCCCCCAAGGGTCCCCCCGACCTCCTCCCTTGGAGTCATACACCCCCCACCCGCATGTGTGGCTCCCTGCTCCGTGCTCGCGGAGCGTCTCTGTTCTCAGCCCCGCGCCGGCCGAAGGGGACACGCACAAGTTCTCACGGGACGGGGGATCCCCGGGCCACTGCCGGCTCTGCCCAGGGAAGCAGGGGGGGGCTGCCTGGCAGGACCCCCCCCCACCTCCGCTCAATCCCGCTCACCTGTTACCTCTACACGTGATCTCCCGGCGGGAGGGGCCGTGGTTCCCTGTGTTCGCGGCGGACCCGCCCCCCGCCCCCTGGGGACACTGACTCGGGCATTGCCGGTGCTCCCAGACGCAGCCGGGACCGAGTGCTCCCTGCGTCTGTGCCCCCCACCCGACCCCGTCTCCTGGGGTGCCGGGGGCAGCGCCAGTCTGAGGCTCCAGAATGTATGGCCGAGGGTTCCCGGGGCCGCCCCGTCCACTTGGAAGCTGCACATGTATGGGACATTAAACCTTTTGTTACGGAGCCGGGGCCTGTGTGTGTGTGTCTGGCTCCCTCCACCCCCGGACCCCTGCTTGCGTTGAAAGACACGCCGAGGTCCCCTGTGTCCCCGGGGAGGGTCTGGTTTCGCTCTGACTCATCCCAGAGCTGCCGGCCATCTGTGCCGGCATCCCCTTACCTGCCTGCATGACTGGGGGAGGGGAGACCCCCCCTGCCCCACCCCCCAGCCCAGCCCTCCTGGACCTGCTTACCCCAGCAGTGTCCCTGCGGTGACGGCCTCAGGCATCAGGGGACCCCTTCCACTGCTGAGTTGAGGGGACTCAGAGCCCACCCCTGTGTGCAGTTAGACCCCCCACCCCCACCCCAGACAGCGTTACCTGGGAGAGCACAGGCATGTGCAGGGGGAAGAATCCAGGCAGACTTCTGGAGGAAGAGCCACTGGAGTTTGGGGGTTTGAGGTCTGGGCATCTTTCACGAAGCATTTGCTGCCCCTGGACAACTGCCCCTGTCCTGGTCACCGCATGCACTTGGGGGACCCAGGGGGGTGGGGGAAGTGATGGTTCGACGAGGAGGGGAGCCCAGGCTGCGTTGAGTGGGGGGCTGGGGTCCGGGCTCAGAGCCGGGGTGGACACGAGCCCCTCGAATCCTGTGCTTCCCTGGGACCTGGGGCTGCTCTTGGCCATGCTCTGCCTTGTGGGGGTTGATAGGGTCCCAGGTGTGCCTTGGGGGCCGGGCCCTGCATGCGGGGACAGGCCGGACCTCCTGCCCCTACGTGACCTGCCCAGGGCGCATGCGTGTGTGAGGGCACGCGAATCCGGGGGTAGACCTGGGCGCTGAGACGCTGCAGTCTTTGCCTGCTCCCACGTTGGCGGGTCTTTTGCCTCCGATGGGAGGCCGCCTACGTCCGTCACGCCTCCCCACATCCTTAGTACCATCCCCATTTTACCAGCGATCAAAGGAAAGAGCGCAAAGGAGTGGCCCAGAATCACACAGTCAAAGATCAGTGAGGGTGAGGAACTTTCCCAGAACCAGAAAGTGTCAGGACCCATTGGGACTTGAACCCTGGTCTTTGACACATAGCCCAGCCTCTTCCTTCGGTCCAGGAGCCAGACACAGGGCTGTCCAGTGCAGGGTGACCTCCTGGGGCCATTCTCCCCGCCTCTACCCCCGCACCCCTGTGGCCCAGCAACTCTCTCCAGCGCCTCCCTCTGTCCTCCACCCGTCCTTCCTGGGGCTCTGTGAGCTGTACTGATGGGGGTCGTCCTTTGTGGAAGGGCCAGGAGTAGAGGGAGGGAAATGCGGCGTCTCTAGGGAAAGAGGCTCAGGAGGAGGGTGCAGGGGTGCGTGGACGCGGGGGCCTATTCAGTGGGAATCAAAGGGGTCTGCAGGGAGGCGGCTGTGGAGAACCACAGGGGTGGGGTGGAGCTCACACAGGGCCCTGCAGGCTGGGTTTCGGGTTGGGGTTGATGGGCGCCAGCCCAGGGTTCTAGCAGAGGCTGAATGGGGTGTGAGCACTGTTGGGGGCGACTAAGTGGAGATGCAGCCTGAGAAGGCACCGTCTGTCCTGATTGGCTGGGAGACGAGGTGGAGGTGGGGCTGAGGAGGTGCTTTCTGTTCTGGTTGGCTGAGAGACAAGTTGAAGGCGGGGGCTGAGAAGGCGCTCTTTAACCTGATTGGCTAGAAGACAAGGGGGAGGTGGGACTGAGAAGTCGCTCTCTGTCCTGATTGGCTGGGAGAGAGGCACGGGTAAGGGGACCCTGGGGGACGTTTTCTGTGGCTGAGCCACAGATGATGATGTTGGAACCTTGGAGGTCAGAGGCGCTCAGTGGTAAAGCCCTGCGTGGCACACGTGAGAGCCTGGGTTAGCTCCCGCCACCGCATGCTCCCTCCTTCCCCCTCTCCCCCACTTCCCAGCACTGGCGCCTCCCCATCTTGGTGGCCCTGGAGGACAACCAAGTGTGGCCCAGGTGGCTGCTGTGAGCACCGCCTGGAGTGGCCCGTAACCAAGAAAACAGAGACTACCACACCCCTCGTCGACTTCAAAGCAGAGCTTGGGCGGGGGCATCGGGGAAGGCTTCCTGGAGGAAGGACCCTTGGAGCTGAACTTGAGGTTGAAACAGAATCAAGCCATCAACAGGGAGATGGTGCAGGGGTTTGGGACCGGCCTTCTACGAGGCAGACCCCAGTCTGACCCCCAGGTACCCCGGAGCCCCCCTGGGAGCAGCACGGAGCTGAGAGCACGCACCCCCCACCTCGCCTCCAGACGTGTCTCAATCTACCCCCCAAAAAAATTAAAAAGAGAATTTGAGATACCCAAGCACAAAAATTTGTAAGCCTACAACTGTACCTCATGGTGTTTCACTAATAAAAATTTCTTTAAAAAAAGAGAATTTCGGGGGCTGGAGCAGTAGCACAGTGGGGAGGCAAAAAGCTTTTGCCTTGCACGCGGCCGACCCGGGTTCAATTCCCAGCATCCCATAGGGTCCCCCGAGCACCGCCAGGAGTGATTCCTGAGTGCAGAGCCAGGAGGAACCCCTGAGCATCGCCGGGTGTGACCCAAAAAGAAAAAAAAAGAGAATTTAGGCAGCTGAAGGGACTTGGGCTCAGGACTGGGCGGATTCGTGGGGAGAATCCAGAAGGAAACGCAGCGGACGCTGGAGCGGGGAGACCGGACGCCCCTGGCTCGGGCACGCACGGAGGGCCCGGCGGCGCCCCCACCCCCGCGCGCGCGGCAGCTGGCAGGGCGGGGACAGCCCCTCGCCGGCAGCCACCTCGGGGCGCCTGTCCCCGCCCCCGGCCGCGCGGAGGCGGGGCGGCGGCCAGCAGGTGGAGGCGGGCGCGATGGCCCGGCCCGGCCGGGGACTCCCGGCGCCGCTGCCAGCCCCGGATGCCCGCCAGACTCCGGGCGCCGCCGGGGCCCCCGCCTGACCTGCCGCCCTGCGCGCGCCCGGGGGGACTCGGGGCGAGCCGTCGGGGGTCCCCAGGGCCCATGCAGTGCCGGCTCCTGCGGGGCCTGGCCGGAGCCCTGGTCACGCTGCTGGGCATGGCACTCCTCTCCCTGCGCTACCGCGGGCGCCTGACCCCGCCGGGCGCGCCGGAGCCCCCCGAGACGCCCGCGCCCAGCGCCCGCCCCGCCCGGCTGCAGCCGCAGGACGTGTTCATCGCCGTGAAGACCACCCGGGCTTTCCACCGCTCGCGCCTGGACCTGCTGCTGGACACGTGGGTCTCCAGGACCCGGGAACAGGTGACACGCGCGGGGGCGCGTGGGGTTCAGGACCGCCTGGCCTGAGGGGCCTCTGGGGTCTTTCCCTGCGGGGCGGGCTGCCTAAGCTCATTTTCCTTCTTGGGCCTTCTGCGTCCTTTGAGGGGCTGTTCCAGCCCCCCTGCCCCAACAGCAGGTGCTCATATGCCCATTGCTCACCTCTGCCGGGAACCTGAGGTCCCGCCATGTCCCAGGGCCCTCCCAGCCAGGCTGTCCCCTGCCCCCCTGCCCTGGCCCGCAGGGGGCGACAGGAGGGTGGCTGTTGGGTGAAGGGTGGGGGTCCAGTCCTATCTGGGTGCTGCCCTGGCCGTGAGCAGAGCAGGGGCTGATGGAGAGGACGGGGTGGGGGGTGGGGGGGCATCTCTGGAAATCCCGCCGGCCCCTGCCTGAACATGGGGCGGGCGGACACCTCACCTCCTAAGTGACTTCCTGTCTGGAGGTGTCGAGGGAGGAGGGGGTGTGTATTGGGATGATGGCGGGCGGCAGGGGTGCAAGAGGGAGGGATGGGGTGTGTGCCCCACAGAGCCAGGTTAGAAAGGCGGGAACCTCCCCTGCCCGCCCCAAGCACCCTGCCAACAGCCAAGCCCTGTGGGGGTCTTGGGAATCACTTCTGGGGTGGTGGAGGGGCGACTTCACACACACACACATGCACACACACCCTCGCGTGCGCTCTCTCGCGTGCACATGCACACACACACATGCATGCACGCGCGCGCGCGCACACACACACACACACACACACACACACACTCGGGCACCCGCTCAGGAGCAAGTGTGCGAGCTTTGGAGGTGGCGAAGGCTCCTGGGAGCCGGTCTCAGGGGAAACGGGAGAGGCCCACAGGCCCTGGCGAGAGGGTGCCCCTGGTTTACCAACTGGCCCTGGGTCCTTGCCTGGCCCCAGCCCCAGGCCCCTGCCCGGCCCCTCCCCTCACGTCACTTCTCCTCTGGGGAGGCCTCGGTTCCCCCCCGCGGAAGCCACCGCACCAGCCCTCCCCGACGACCTTCCTGTTTATGGCGCTGCCTGTGTGCCCAGAGCAGGACCTCACGTGGTCCCGGCCTTCCTGACTCCCATCGCTGTGGGGGTGCCCTGCCCCGGAGGAGGAAACTGAGACCAGAAAGAGGAAGCGCTCACCAACGTCAGTCAGCCGGGGGCTGGAGGCGGCAGGGCACCCCCTCTCCTTAGAGGGAATTGGGGTCCCGGAGCTGCGGGGGGGGCTCAGGAGAGGGTTGGGGGTCCCTGCTCGGCTGCCCTGGGGGAAGGCACGACAGTCCCCCCCTCTTCAGAGGAGGCTGAGGCGCAGGCCAGGCCCTTACTGGCCTCTGGCTCAGGACAGTGTCTCGAAAACTTGCCCCTTCCCGAAGACTGGGAGATGGCAGGGGGGAGGCCGGGAGGCCCCCACTCACCCCTGCTGTGCCCCTTGCCGCCTCCCTTTGTTCCATCTCTCCCGAGGCCCCGCCCCCGCCAGGCCTCAGTTTCCCCCGGGCAGGAGTGTGTCCCGGAGCTGGTTAACTGCAGGCCCGGTGCCGGCCCAGCTGGTTAAGGGCGACCCGGGGCAGGTGGGCCTTTGTGCCCGGGTGGACAGGGCTGCGTGTGGCCTTTGTGTCCCGCGGGGGCGGGGGGGGGGAAGGCCACGGAGGCTGCTTTGTGCTCGCTGCCGTCCCTGGGGGCGGGGCTGGGGGACAGGGCCCCTCGCAGCAGCAGATGGTCCCTGCTGGCCGGCCCTGCCACTCAGCGCAGAAGGTTTGAACCGTGGCCCAGGCCCCACCCGACACAAATCAGATGCAGCCGGGCTGGGAGGCGCCACCCCCTCCCCCAGCCCCCCTTAGCCGCTGCAGCAGCCTCGATCCCTGGCCCATTTGGGCCAAACTCACAGGCTTCCTCTTGCTGCGGAGGTTTAGTGTCAAAAGTTTGCCAGGCAGCGGAGGAAGCGCTTCTTGGCTCCTTTGAAACCAGCTCCGGGGGGGGGGGGCGGGGGGAGCATATAGCAGACTTGGTGGGGGAGCACGGAGCAGGGGGATCAGGGTACAGGGACTGCATCCAAATAGGAGGCGAGGAGCTGGAGCCATAGCACAGCGGGGAGGGCGTTTGCCTTGCACGTGGCCGACCCGGGTTCGAGTCCCAGCATCCCATAAAATCCCCTGAGTACCGCCAGGAGGAATTCCTGAGTGCAGAGCCAGGAGGAACCCCTGAGCATCGCCGGGTGTGACCCAAAAAGGAAAAAATAGGCGAGGCCAGGGGGCTGGCTCGTGGGGGCTGGGGGGTGGGGGAGAGAGGGTGCCATCCAGGAGGCCTGAAAGCTGGGTGGGCAGCGCTGCGGTTTGGGGGGCAGAGAGGAAGTACCGCCCCCTCCCCCGGGGATCAGGACTGGGAGAGACGGGGAGGGGGAAGGAGAGGCTGGCGTGTTGGGGGGCACCTGTCTGGGCGGGGGGGCATTTGAACGCTGCGGTGGGGGCGTGGGGGGCCCCTCTGAGACTCTGGGTTCGAGAAGGTGTTTAACAAGCCAGAGGTGGGGCCGGGGGTGTGGCGTGGTGACAGACACTTCCTGGCATGTCTCAGGCGTCTCCTCGGTGCCAGTGGCCTCCTCAGCACCACCGAGTGTGTCCCCAACTCCAGGAAATTCACAAGTACATCAGTAAGGAAGCTGGAGCAATAGGACAGCGGGGAGGGCGTTAATTGGCCTTGCACGTGGCCGACGCGGGTTCGATTCCCAGCATTCCATATAGTCCCGTTCCCCCCCCCCCGAGCACCCCCAGGAGTAATTCCTGAGTGCAGAGCCAGGAGTAACTCCTGTGCCTCGCCGGTGTGACCCAAAAAGAAACACACACACACACACACACACACACACACACACACACACACACACACACACCAATAAAACCCAGGGGCTGGTTGGAGTCGCAGAGGGAGGGGATGGTGAGAAGGGGCTTGAGTCATGGAAACCTTTGGCCCGCCCAGTGCCGGCAACACTTCTCAGTGGGAGACACGACCCCCACACTCCCAACCCACCAGCACCACCAAAGGGGGTTCGGAAGGGGGAAGCCCGGGACAGTCTGTGGGGAGAGGGCAGGGGCCAGGTCAGAGACAAGCCCAACCAGGATGGTTCGAGGGAGCAAGGGGCAGCATCCCATGGCCAAGGGGTTTGCCCAAAGCTGGCAGGGGCCTGTGTGAAGGAAGGGTAGAAGGGAGGGCTTCCTGGAAGAGGCGGCGATTCAGCTGTGAGTCAGGGGGCAGAAAAGGGCACAGACCTCAGTGAGGGAGAAGTTAACTGGGTGGGCAGGGGGTGAGGAGAGCGGGTGGGGGATGGGGCACGGGGCCACCTTCCGCTCAGACCCAGGCCAGCCTCTATCCAGTGGCCACAGAGGGGCCTGGCAGGGGAGGTGGGGAGGGTGAACGTTCTGGGGGCCGCAGCAGGGCTGAGGGCACAAAGCCGGGTCTTGTTTGCCCCCTCGAGTCCCGGCAGGCTCCAGAAAAGGGCCCTAGTCCCGGGGCCGGGAGACAGACTCAGGCCCGGTGCCTGCCTGGGCTTCTCTGGCGCCTGGAACCCTGCCTCTGTTTCCCCCAGACACAGGAAGCCAAACCCCTCCAGCCCTTGGAAGCTGCCACTGATGGGGAAACCGAGGCCGGGGTGGGGTTCTCATCTGAAGGGCTGAATCCTGGGGTGGAGGGTGAGGTCTCCAGGCAGGGAGGGGGGGAGAGAGAGGGAGACAGAGAGGGAGGGAGGGAGGGAGACAGAGGCCTGGCCTGGCCCCTTTCCTGGGGGTGCCGCTTCCTCCCAGGGCCTCCCGGCCACTCCCTTCACCCCAGTTTTGCCATCCTGAAGGGGACAGGTCCCAGCCCCCCGTCTAGGGGCTCCATGGAGGGAGGGTCACTGCTCAGCCCGGGTGTGTCTGCAGCGCAGAAGGTCAGGGGCAGGCCGGCAGAGGTGAGCAGAGAACCTCAGCGGGTCCGAGCGGGACATCCTCTAGGGCCCGGCTGGGGGTGTCGTGGGGGTCGTGGATGCCCGCCCAACCCGCTCACACGCCCCCCGCCCCGTCTCCCCTCCAGACGTTCGTCTTCACTGACGGCGCGGACGCAGGCCTGCAGAAGAGACTGGGTAACTGCCCCCGCGGGCGGTGGGGGGTCTCCCTGGGGTGGGGGCGGCCAACTCCGCGGGTGTCCCCTCTGCCCGCGAGGGGCGCTGGCTGCTCCCGTGGGGAGGGGCAGCCCCGGGACCCCGACCCCAGCCCGCTTCGCCCCGAGCCCTGAGCTGCAGGCCCAGCCTCTCGGGCGCGGCGGGATCCCCGGGCCTGGCTCGCGGGTCCCCGGCGGGCCCTGACTGTCCCCTCTCCAGGGTCCCACCTCGTGGTCACCAACTGCTCCGCGGAGCACAGCCACCCCGCGCTGTCCTGCAAGATGGCCGCGGAGTTTGACGCCTTCCTGGCCAGCGGGCGGAGGTGAGCGCTGGCCCGGGGGTGGGGGTGGGGGGCAGGGCAGGTGGGGGATGTTGGTCCAGAAACGTGAGGTGGTCTGTGTGCTGTGAGTCATCAATCCCATGCGGCCTTTCGGGTCTGTCCACCCGTCCTTGCTGGCCGACAGTTCCCCTCCTGCGATGCTGTGTGACCTCCGGCCGCTGTCTTGACCTCTCTGAGTCTTGGTCCTCATTGGGTCGCTCACAGTCCCTCCTTCTCCCCCAGGTGGTTCTGCCACGTGGACGACGACAACTACGTGAACCCGCGCGCGCTGCTAAAGCTGCTGAGAGCCTTTCCCTTGGCTCACGACGTCTACGTCGGCCGGCCCAGCCTGAACCGGCCCATCCACGCCTCCGAGCCGCAGCCCCACAACCAAACGGTGGGGCCTTCCCAAGCGCCTCTCACTCATTGGCTGCGCGGGCCAGGGGAGGCGGGGCCAGTCAGCTATGGCATCCTGAGGGCGGGGCCAGGAGGGATGGGGCCAATCATATGTGGCCGCCCCGGGGGTGGGGCAAGAGGGGGTGGGGCCAGTCAGCTATGGCATCCTGAGGGCGGGGCCAGGAGGGATGGGGCCAATCGTATGTGGCCGCCCCGGGGGTGGGGCAAGAGGGGGTGGGGCCAGTCAGCTATGGCATCCTGAGGGCGGGGCCAGGAGGGATGGGGCCAATCGTATGCGGCCACCCCTGGGGTGGGGCCAGTCAGATATGACATCCTGAGGGTGGGGCCAGAAAGGATAGGGACAATCTTGCGGCCATCCCGGGGGTGGGGCCAGGAGGGGCGGGGCCAGCCAAATGTGCTTTCTGAGGGCGGGGCCACGAGGGGCGGGGCAATGTGCTGCACCAATTAGGTGTGACCATGAGGAGGGCGTGGCTACGAGGGGTTGAAGCTATAGGGCGGGGTCACCTAGGTGTGGCCAACCCAGGGCGGGGTCAGGAGGAGCGTGGCTATGGGGCAGGGCCACCTGAGTCATTCTGGGTGGAGCCACTCAGGGGCGGGGCTACCAGGGGCGGGCCTTGTGGTGCGGGGCTGGGACCCGGAAGGTGGCTCCTCTGGCTTTCTTTGGTTACTGTTGTTTGGACTGGTGGCTACGCGGCTCCTCCCCAGTCTCCTCTGCGATGGGGAAGCAAGTACCAGTGAGGCACAGAGAGTGCCATGTACTAGAGCCACCTTCATGCACTGGGAGGTGGCGGGCGCTGAGGCTTCTCCACCCACAGTGGAGTTCACAGCTACCCGGTATCATCATCTACTTATAAGTTTTTTTTTTTGCTTTTTGAGTCACACCCGGCGATGCACAGGGGTTCCTCCTGGCTTTGCACTCAGGAATCACTCCTGGCGGTGCTCGGGGGACAATATGGGATGCTGGGAATTGAACCCAGGTCGGCCGCGTACAAGGCAAGCGCCCTCCCCGCTGTGCTATCACTCCAGCCCCTGTACAAGTTTTGGGGTCAGCCCAGCCCCGTAGGCGCGTTCTCCCTAGGGTGCCAGTAACCAGCCACAGAAGCCTTGACCCCTCACACAACCAGCTTCAGCTCCAGATCTGGACGGATCCGGATCAGGGTAGAGGGATTTAGGAAACAAAGAACTAAAGAACCTGTCACATTTGACTTTCTGAGAAACACCCGTGAATTTTATGGCCCAGCTTGTTTTACTTGCGTCTATTGCAAAGGGCTCCCCCTGTCCCCAGGACCCACTTGGCTTCTGGCCCTTGAGTGGCTGGGCCGGCGGGATGCCCGTCTCCGGTTGCAGCCCTGCCGCAGGCGAGCCCACGCTGGGCCTCTCCCTCCTGAGATCACCATCTGCTCCATCAGGGAAACAAGAGCAGAAAACACAAGACCTTAATTACCAGCAGCTAATCAGCCTCTGAGCCCTAATTAAGTCCTCCTGGGCCCCAGGGGGTGGTGGTGGAGCCAAGTGAGCACTTGCAGGTGAGTCCAGCCCCAGCTCACCCCCGCCACTCTCCTGCTAGACTGTCTTGCAAAAATTCGCTGGAGCCTGACTCTGATCTCTCGGGCCACTCTCGCCACCTCCTGGCTTTGGGGCCTCGATGAGGTCACTTGCATGACCCCTCTGCGCCTTTGTCTTCTCGTCTGTGGAGTGGGTATTGTCCTTTCTATCTTTTTCCCTGGCTGGGTGCTAAAAGAAAGGATCACACGAGGCAGGCGGGAGCCGGGGGTTTATTCCTAGAATGCAGAGTGCACCCTGGCCGAGCAGAGTCAGAACAGTCTCTGAGCACTGCTGAGTGTGACCCAAAGTGTATAGTGGGGGAGGGCAGGGGCCAGAGAGATAGTACGGTGGTTAGGGCGCTTGCCTTGTATGCAGTCGACCCTGGCACTGCATATGCTCCCCAGAGCATCTCCAGGAGTGATCCCTGAGCACAGAGCCCGGAGTCAGCCCTGAACATTACTGGGTGTGGCCCCCCGAGCAAATAAACAAATACCAGCACCAAAAAAAGGTACAACGAGACCCCCTCCCGAGTGGCCGACCTGTGACTGACGCCAGGAAATGGCGGTGATTAGGATCAGCTCGCACCTCCAGCCCCGTTTCCCTGCCGGGCACACCCAGGCCCTGTCCCCTACAATGTGCACAAATGACCTTCTTGGCACCCAACGCACCAATGGGGTCCCAGGACCCTGCCCTGAAGTGACTCAGTTTGTTTGGACCAAGGGGTGGGCCCGCAAAGCGGGCGCCAGAGTTCCTGCCGGGGGTCAGTCCTGGCCCTGCGACTTCAGGAGGGTCTTTTCTCTGTCACCTTATGCCACCGCCTCTGTGGCGCAGCCCTGAGCAAAGGCACAGTCTCTGCTCCGGGTGAGGCTTCTGATGCTGCTGCTCCTGGGATATGGGGGTGGCAGCCGTGTGTGCGCATGCGCATTAGTCAGCGCTGCATGCTGCCTCGCTGACCCCTGACAGAGGCCTGGGGCCTTGGAGGGGAGGAGTCGGACCTCCTGCAGAGCCTGGAGAACAACTCTGTCTTTTTTTTTTTCTTTTTGGGTCACACCCGGCGATGTACAGGGGTTACTCCTGGCTCTGCACTCAGGAGTTACTCCTGATGGTGCTCAGGGGACCATATGGGATGCTGGGAATCGAACCGGGGTTGACCGCGTGCAAGGCAAACTCCCTACCCGCTGTGCTATTGCTCCAGCTCACAATTCTGTATTTTGTTTTTCTTTTTGGGTCACACCTGAATATGTTCAAGGGTTACTCCTGGCTCTGCACTCAAGAATTACTCTTGGCGGTGCTCAAAGGACCCCATGGGATGCCGGGGATCGAACCTGGGGCAGCTGCATGCAAGGCAACGCCCAACCCTCTGTATTGTCGCTGCGGCCCAGGCCATGCTGTGTTAGACCCAGAGCTGAGGCTGCAATGCAGGGGGGAACGGATCTGAGGCCCAGAGAGGGCAGCTACTTTCTCAAGTTTGCACAGCTGTGCCGGGCCCCAGAATCAGGCTCCCAAGTTCCCTATCCAGGGCCCGTCTCATTGTCACCCTGCGAGGGAAAACCCAGTCCGGTGCACCAAGAAAGCACCAACTGTATACTCTGGAAAAGGAAACCCCAGGGATGGGGATGGGGGGAGAGGGGGAACTTGTTGGACCCAGACATGGTGCAGCTGTGCCCTGATGGGGCTGACTCCACCCACCCACCCACCCACCCACCCACCTGGAGATGGCCTAGGTACTAATCCTGCTGTTCACTGGCTGTGTGACCTTGGGCCAGTGTCTGTACCTCTCTGATGCTTGGTTCCCACTTGTGAAGTGGGTCCCACTTCCTGGAGAGCTTAAGGAACCAATTTTCCTAAAAGCCTGGTAGAAATCGGAGAAGGAGGAGAGTCCCGGGTGGATAGAGGCAGAAAGGGGTTGGCTTTGAGGGGGATATGCTGGGGCTTGCTGGTTCCGGGGCTCACAACCTATTTCTCTCTCTCTCTCTCTCTCTCTCTCTCTCCCCCCCCCTTTGGTGGAAAAGGTTTTTTCATCCCTAATAGCTGGGACTGAGAAAACCAGGGGTGCAGCACTATTTGGACCTGGTGCCCTGGGAGAGAGCATCTCATCCTCCTAGTCACAGAGTCCAAGGATCTGATTGGCTGGCCTGAGTCATGTGCTTGCAGCGGAGCCAATCACTGGTCGGGGGCGTGGCCTTGCGTCCTCCGGTCCCAGGGCAGCAGGTGCTGTGTTTGGGGAGGGGGGACCCTCTCCAGCCACCGGGTGAGGAGGAAGAGACATTTCCCTGGACAAACGGGTCGGGGGCGCTGGACAACAAGCCTGACACATGTCCCCTTTAGCCAGAACCAAGCCCCCCCTCCCGGGAGACTGTCGCTGACCCCGCCACTGGGAGCGAAGATGTGACTTTGGGCCTGGGCTCCTTATGCAAAATGGGCAGGATATTGTGGAGCTGCGGGGGGGGGGGGGGGCGGCTAGCGAGATGGGAGGGCAGCAGCATCGGAGCTGGGCTGGTCGTGTGTGCGCGCATGTATGTGTGTGTGCATGTGTATGTGTGTGTGTCTGTGGGGGGCGTTTGGCTCTTGCCCGCCCCGCACCCCTTCCTCACCCCTGCTCCCCACCTTCCCCCCCTTCTCTCTGCAGAGGCTGGTTCAGTTCTGGTTTGCTACGGGGGGCGCCGGCTTCTGCATCAACCGCAAACTGGCGCTGAAGATGGTCCCATGGGCCAGGTGAGACCCCCAGGCTGCAAGGAGGACAAGGGGTGCAGAGAGGGTGTGTGTGTGTGTGTGTGTGTGTGTGTGTGTGTGAGAGAGAGAGAGAGAGAGAGAGAGAGAGAGAGAGAGAAAGACAGACAGACAGACTGACTGACAGAGAACTTTGTTGCTTAAGGGGCTCCTTTCATGCTGTGTCAGACTTAGTTACTGGGTTGCAAGCCTCAGTCCCCCCTCGAGGGGGCTGGGCGCCACTGCCCTGTGTGTCCAGCCTCACACAGATCAGCTGCACCCTCCAGAACTTCTCCCATCTTTCCAGCTTCCTGAGGATACCATAGCCAACGGCTGCTGTAGGGGTTCAATGAGGGACTGTCTGGGGTAGCACCTGGTGACAACCACACCACCCAGGGTCCCTTGGCTACCCTCTTCTGCGCAATCAGTGCTCCGGGGTGAGATGAAGGCTGACTGTAGGCAGGAAAAGGAGGGAGGACTTCCTGGAAGTGGTGGCAGTTACTGTGACTGGCTGTGAAGTCTGTGTGGGATGGAGGGTGGGCTGGGGCAGGCCTGGGGCGACATCTGGCTTCTCCAGCTGAATCTCCCAGGCAGGGAAGTTCAGCAAGTTGCAGGTTCCAGGGGACCCAGCCCTGGGGGCTCACTCCCACACCAACCTGAGGGGCAGAGGGAGCTGGGTCTCTGAGGGGGCTTGTCCCAGCAGACAGAAAGCAGGGGACGTCCCTGCACCCCCAAGGGCTTCTGCCCACCACAGTGGGAATTAGAAAGGACCCCTGTGGGCACACAGCCGGGGATGGGGGTGAAAACTTTCTGCCTCCACCTATCAATCCGTGCTGGACACCCCCTGACCCCACTATGGCCCCAGGATCACTAGGATCAAGCAGCTGTCCTGGGATGCTCTTTCTCCCAAATCACTGTGAGATGCAGTTACAAAGCTGTTCAGCTTGGGTTTCAGTCATGCGTCCGTCCACCAGTGTACATTTCCCACCATCAATGTCCTCAGTTTCCCTCCTGCTACCCCCCCGCCCTCGCCAAACCTGCCCCTATGGCAGGCACTTTCCTTCTCTCTCTCCTTTTTCTTCTGACCTTTGACTGCCTTTAGCTCCTCTTCCCTAAGAGTCACTTTACGAAACGGCCGTTCTCACGGTGGAAGAAAAAGCAGACCAGAAAACTCACCTCCTCCAGGAAGCTCACCGCTCTGCCTTCCCCTCTCTCTCTCGGGTGTCCCTCAGGCCTCCCTGTGATTTAACGTCCATCAGTCCTGCTCTGAAATGACCTGTGCTGGCTGCCTGTCTCTCCTGAGACTGGGGAGGCTGCTGCTGAGGCTGGTGCTCTGCTGTTCATCTTGGGGTCCTTGACCTTTGTGTGGTGTCTGACATCCAAGTAGGCAGTGCAGGCGGAGAATGAGTGCATCTGGGGGTTGTACAGGGAGGTAGCTCAAAGGGATAAAGCAGGGCTGGAGCAATAACACAGCGGGGAGGGCGTTTGCCTTGCATGTGGCCGACCCTGGTTCAATTCCCTGCATCCCATAGGGTACCCCGAGCGTTTGCCTTGCAGGCGGCCGACCAGGGTTCCAGGGTTCAATCCCCAGCATCCCATAGGGTCCCCTGAGCACCGCCAGGAGTGATTCCTGAGTGCAGAGCCAGGAGTAACCCCTGAGCATCATCGGGTGTGACCCAAAAAGCAAAGGGGGGGGGGGCTAAAGCACAGGGTGCTCGCAGGGATCTAACCCTCAGCACCCTGTGATCCCATGAGCATGGCTGGGATTGGCCTATATTATTTTAAAGTGGAGTGACAAACTGGAGTGTTATGGGGAGAGGAGGGAAGGTTAGATGGATGGGGGTTTCCTCTCCATCCTCAGGATGCCCTGGATGACTGACAGGCTCGTTTTACAGAGGAGAAAACTGGCTTTCCGAGGTCATTTACCAGAGGTCACAGAGTCCAGCAACCAGATTTTTATAATTTTGGCTTTTTGGGTCACACCCGGCGGTGCTCAGGGGTTCCTCCTGGCTCTGCACTCAGGAATCACTCCTGGCGGTGCTCGGGGGACCCTATGGGATGCTGGGGATTGAACCCTGGAACCCCGGTCGGCCGCCTGCAAGGCAAACGCCTTAGCCGCTGTCCTATCTCTTCGGCCCCAGCAGCAGCCAGATTTTGTCAGGGAGATGTGGGAGGCGGGGGCGGGGCTGTGGGAGACGGAGGCGGGGCTGTGGGCGGCGAGGGCGGGGCTGTGGGAGGTGGGGGCGTGGCTGTGGGAGATGGGGCGGGGCTGTGGGAGACGGGGGTGGGGCTTGGGAGGCAGGGGCGGGGCCGTGGGAGGCGGGGGCGGGGCTGTAAAAGGCGGGGGCGGGACTTGGGAGGTAGGGGCGGGGCGGCGGCAGCTCGGCTCTCTCCCCTGCAGTGGCCCCCACTTCACAGAGACCTCGGCGCTCATCCGCCTGCCAGACGACTGCACGGTGGGCTACATCATCGAATGCAAGCTGGGGGGCCGCCTGCGGCCCAGCCCCCTCTTCCATTCCCACCTGGAGACCCTCCAGCTCCTGGGGGCCGCCCAGCTCTCCGAGCAGGTGAGTGGGTCTCCCTACTGGGCAGGGAATCCGAGGTCCAGAAAGGGGGACACGCAGCCCCTCAGACCCAGGGGTTGACTTGGCGGCAGAACGTCTGTGCTCCCTGGGCTGGAGCCGCCTGGGTGATGCCGCCCGCGCCTCTCTCATCCTGCTTCCATCCCCGGCACCAGCAGGCAGCCCTGAGCACTGGGAAGGAGTGATTCTGAGCGCAGAACCAGAGACCCTGAGGCGCGGAACCCCGAGGCCCAGCTGATACTGGAGCCCCTTCAAAAATAGCAAATAAGGGGCCAGAGTGATAGCACAGCGGGGAGGGCGTTTGCCTCACACGCGGCCAACCCAGGTTCGATCCCCAGCATCCCATATGGTCCCCCGAGCACCGCCAGGACTAATTTCTGAGTGCAGAGTCAGAAGGACCCCTGGGCATCACCGGGTGTGACCCAAAAAGCAAATAAATAAGTAAAAATAGCAATTAACTCACCCCCAAGCCATTCATGGCAGGACAGAACTTGGCCCCGGTTTCCTCCCTTCCGTCCTTCTTGCCTCTTTTCAAACTTTAGCTTCTTTGGGGGCCACACCAGCCATGTTTCCCTGTCTGGCTCAGCCCACCCACCGCACTTAGTGCTGATTGGCCAGACCTGCAGCATCTGTCCCCGTGGGACCCAGGGCCTGAAGACAGAAAAGGGGGAAGGTTTGAGGTGGTCGGGTCAAAACGTCTGAATAGTTGGGGTCGCCGGAGTGTCCACTGTACCAGCTACGCCATTGTGGAGCGCTTATTTTGTGTGTGTGTGTGGGGCACTCCTGGCAGTGCTCAGGGATCACTCCTGGCAGTGCTCGGGAATCAGGGATCACTCCTGGCAGTGCTCAGGGATCAGGGATCACTCATGGTAGTGCTCAGGGATCACCCCTGGCGCTGTCTCAAACCTCTGGGTTCTCCTGTGCTGGGGGATAGAGTCTTTCTTCTTCTTCCCCGACCCCTACATTCTTGGCCCTTCCTGCCCGCCCCCAGTGGGACCCCCCCAACCTTCAGTCTCCTCTCTGAGCAGGTCACCCTCAGCTACGGCACCTTTGAGGGGAAGCTGAACGTCATCAAGCTCCAGGGCCCCTTCTCGCAAGAGGAGGACCCCTCCAGGTGGGTCTGGGGGCTGATCGCCGGCGTCCAGAGAGGGGGTGTGGGTGAGGAACACCTGGGGCTGGAAGCACGGAACTGGGATGGAGCGAGCACATTTCGGGCTTGCTGCCTTTTTCTTTTCTTTTCTTTTTTTAGTGGGGGTCTGGGGGAGGTGTTGGGGCCAGACCCGGTGATGCTCAGGAGTTACCTCCGTCTCTGCGCTCAGGAATTACTCCTGGTGGGCTCGGAGTCATTTGATCCCCAGTATGGTCCGGCGGGGTATCAAACCCGGGTCAGCCGTGTGCAAGGCAAACGTCCTACCCGCTGCACTACCCCTCTGGCCTTGCTTTCTAACAGCCGGCTGTGTGATCTTGGGTAAATGTCTTGCTCACTCTGGGCCCCTGGAGACACTTTTGATCGGGGTCGCAGGCAGTGGAACTCAGGGCCTGTGACCTCTCCGGGTGGTGTTGAGGTCCTGGGGCCCTTCAGGGGTGGAGGGTCACACCCTGCGGTGCTGGGCTTCCAACGCGGGGCCACACTCCTGCAAGGCCTGTGCTCCACCACTTGAGGGCGCTCCTGGCCTCAGCTGCGGCTGAAGCTGCCCTTGGCGGGGACTGCCCACCAGGGGGCGCTCTCAGTCCCAATGTCCAAACACTGGGGGTCTCGGGAGCACTGTGGGGCGGAGTATGGGGTAACCCCGCTGCCCCTTTCTCCTCTCTCCATAGGTTCCGCTCCCTGCACTGCCTCCTCTTCCCGGACACGCCCTGGTGCCCACAGCTGGCGGCCTGGTGACCGCAGACAGGGGCTGGCTGAGGCCGCCACGCGGCTGAACCAGGAGAGTTGGTGGCCCTTCAGCGGCGCTCGGACTTGGGACTCTAGTCCCCCGAGATCACGGGGTTCCTGAGTGTGCTGTGGCCTCTGTCCCGGTTTTTGGTCCTTCTCCTGGGTCCCCTCACTGCGGCCTTCCCCGGCTGGACCCCCGACCCCCTGAGGGAGCCCAGGTTGGAGTAACAGCTCGAGCCGGGGGTCTATGGGAGACCCCGCCGGTCTTCAGTGCCCCCCCACTGTGACCCTTGCTGTCTGGACTTGGGGTGTCACTCAGCACCCCGAGGCCCAGATAGTAGATTCTAATTCCTCACCGCCGACTGCCGTGAGCCTTTTGCCCACGTCTCCAGCTCCTTCCTGGCTGCTCAGGGTTGCCAGATGGTCCCCACGAGTGAGAAACTTGCCCAGTCGGCAGTGACACTGTGCAGGGAGGCCCCGCAGGTCCCTACCCCGGCATCCTGTGGTGGATGTGGGTGTGATGTCGGGAGCAGGGGCAGCCACTTTGCTGCCACGAAGGGGCGGCAGCGACCCTCCCCCACAGCGCTCCCTTGCCTGTTTCTGACAGACAATGAAAACGTGTTTGTTTAAGCTTCTCGGGGTCCTTGTGTGTGCTGATCTGCGCGCACCAAACGCTCCCCACCTGGGCGGGAGTCTGCCATCTGCCTGGGGAGAGTCAGAGAGCAAGGGAAGGTCAGATGGAGGAAGGTGCACCCACCCGAGTCCTCCAGGGAGGAACTGGCTGCAGTCAGCAGTTTCAGGCTCCAGGAGAGATGATGAGTGCCCGAGAACCCTCAAGGGGAGAGCTCCGGAAACCTCCCAGCTGCCTCTTGTTCCTGGATGTCCTGGCATCCTGACGCAGGCCCTGGGCATGAGGCCCCCTTCTCCAGCTGGAGGCCCAGAGAGGGTGTTGCAGGTTCCTGAGGATGCACAGCGCTCTGGTGTCTGCGGGGCTCTCTGAGGGCTTCCAGAACCTTCCTTCTTCCCCTCCTCCCGGGGCTGACCGAACACAGGCTTTGTGGGACGGATGCAAAGTGGGGGTGACCCCTGGGCTCCTGCCGGGCGGGCTAGGCTGGTTCTGAGCTCCCTGGTGCGCAGGGCGGCGGGCCAGGCTGCGTTCGTTCGGCTCATCCCGGGTTCCGGAGGGTCGGGCGCGGGAGCAGCGCTCGGGCCATCTGCTGCCCCGTTGTCCCAGAATAGCTGTGCTGGGGAGGGCGCAGAGTCAGCAAGGATCAAACTGGGGTGCAGGGAGGAGGGAGTGTGGCTTGGGGAGCCGCGGGAGCTGCCCGGGCTGAGTCCCGCCCACCCTGTCACGTGGGCCAGAATGATGCCCATTCTGGGGCCAGGTGATAGCACAGCAGGGAGCGTGCGTGCCTTGCACTCCTCCGACCCGGGTTCGATCCCCGGCTCCCTCTCGGGCTCCCCAGCCCCGCCAGGAGGGGTCCCTGAGTGCAGGGCCAGGAGTAAGCCCTGAGCACCGCTGGGTGTGGCCGCCCCCCAACAAACAAGCAGGAAGAACAGTTCCCATCTCACAGACGGGGACCTGGTGACGCGTCGTGACGGTCCTTGGGGTTGGGGAGTCTCGACAGCCGGGCCCGCCCACGCCGCGGGTCTAGTCCTCCCGAGCTGACCCCCCAGTTTCCGGGTGTCCCTTATGGAACAGGTGCTGGAAGATCCAGGCTCAGGGGTGGCGCGTGGGTCACTCTAAAATCCTCTCCCTCCCCTCCTGTGCTGGGCTGTGAAAGGGGGTGCTGGAGGGGGGCCGGGGGATCGCCCCTCCCTCACCCCACCCCACCCCCGCCAGGTGTGTGCCGGCGGAACCTCCTGGCTGGCCTCTGGTGCCCCGGTTCTCCGCGGGTCACCCCTCTTCTTGGCACTGCTGCCCCGTCCTGGTCACCTCCCCTCTCCTCTCCTGGCAGTTGCTCCCCGATCTCCCGGAGGTCACTGTCACCTGGTCACCTCTCCAGCTATGAGGCCTCCAAGCAGGGCCCGGGGACACGCCCGCTGTGGGTGCCTCTGTGTGGAGCTGGGAGGGACCCCTGCCCGGTGGCCTCGAAGCTCTTCTCCCTCCCCCCTCCTCCTCCTCCTCCCTGCCCCCCCACCCCTGCACAGAGCAGTGCCCAGCAGACACTCGGGCAGGGGCGGGTGGGGACGGGCTGCTCTGTCTCCTCCAGCTCTGGCTGCGAGGGTGTAACTGGGCAGGTGCTAACCTGGGTGGCTCAGGCTGGTGACACAGGTCACATTTAATAGCATCCCTAAAGGGACAAGCTGAGGGCTGGAGCAATAGCACAGCGGGGAGGGCATTTGCCTTGCACGCAGCCTACCTGGGTTCGATTCCCAGCATCCCATAGGGTCCCCTGAGCACCGCCAGGAGTCATTCCTAAGTGCATGAGCCAGGAGTAGCCCCTGTGCATCACTGGGTGTGACCCAAGAAGCAAAAAAAGAAAAAAAAAAACTAAAGGGACAAGCTGACCTCACGTGCTTCCAGTAGGACCAGGGGGACACATGCAGGCAGCGAGTTCATTAAGTGACCCGCACAGACCAGGCTGTGGCTGGAGTCCAGGTGGGAGCAAAGGGCACATTAATGACACCCTGCGGCTCAGGCCACGATGATGGATGGGACAGCCCTCCCCCCCCATCTAGCCCTCTGGCTTCTTCAAACTGGGGACGGCATGAAAACATAGCCAGGAGGGGAGAATAGTAAGGAGACACGTCACAGAGCATATACAAGCCCAGAACTCTAGAGAGAGATTTTTGGGTTGGTTTTTATTTTGCGGGTGGGGGTGACATTTAGCTGTGCTCAGGGCTGACTCCTGGCTCTGTGCTCAGGGATCACTCCTGGCAGAGCCGGGGATCAAACCTCGGGTCAGGCACGTGCAAGGCAAAGCCCTACCCATTGGGCTATCTCTCTGGCCCCTAAAAAGATATTTTTGCGCCAAAGAAGCAGTTGGAATGTGGGCTCTCTACTGGGGGGGGTGGCACTAAGTTAGTTATTGTGGGTTTTATTAGGTGTGATCATCAGACAGAGGGAATTGTTGTTTTGTTTCCTTTTTTGGGGTGGGGGTGTATGTTTTTAGAAATGTTCTGATATGTGAGAGATACATTCTGAAATATTTATGGGTGAAATGACATAATGTCTGGCATTTTCTTTAAAATCATGCCTGAGGGCAGTTTTGAAGTAAAGACAGGCAGGAAGGAGCTGGCTTGGGAGCCCGAGTGGGGGTTCCGGCGACATCCCTGTCACTGAGAGGTGTGCTGGCCGTCATCCATCGGAAAAGGTCAGATCAAATAAAGTGGGTCCGTGGGTTCTCCGCCGTGGGGGCCACGCCCCACATTGAGGCCCCGCTGGAGAACAGCTGTTGGCATCAGACCCAGCTGTCCTGATCTACCTTCTGTTCTCCCCAAACAGCCCCCCAAAGGGGAGGGGGGCCCCTGTGTGATGAGCACTTGGCCCAATGCCTGCCTTCCCTGAGTACCCCACTCCATCTCTCTGTTTTTCCCTTTTTTGGGGGGGTCACACCCTGCGATGCTCAGGGGTTCCTCCTGGCTCTGCACTCAGGAATCACTCCTGGCGGTGCTCAGGGGACCATATAGGATGCTGGGGATCGAACCCGGGTTGGCCGTGTGCAAGGCTAACGCCCTCCCTGCTTTGCTATCACTCCAGCCCCTCTCTGTTTATTCTTGTAACGTTTTCGGGTTGTGTGCTCGGCTGGCTGAGCCCTGTTCGGCACCCTGTTGAACCGTTGGCATCTCCCGTCCCAGCTACACTGTAACCGGTTCCATCTTCTCGCACATGGTTGCCACACACGTCCCCTCCACTCCATCGCTCCCTCAATAGAAGTTGTCCGTGCACCACTAGGCAGGGACCGGGGGTTCTGCTTGAGACCCTCCAGAGGGAAGGAGCCCTGCTCTCCACTGACGGCTCGAACCCTGGGCAGGCTGGGGCTGTGTGATCGGCCTGGAGGGGAATCAATGATGAGCCCCTGGGGCACGGGGGCAGGGGCTATAGTCTGGGGCGTTGGACAGGTCAGTGGCAGGAGCAGCGAGGCTGATGGCCAGGCAGCGCTAGGGCTGAGCTTGGAGCCTCGAGAAAGCTGACTTCCGGGGTGGGGCCTGTCCTCCAATTGCCCCAAATCAGCAGGTGTGGTCAGATTGGCCTTCTGGGGTGGTACTAAGAGTGAGTTGTGGGGGGCCGGAGCGATAGCACAGCGAGGAGGGCGTTTGCCTTGTATGCGGCCGACCCGGGTTCAATCCCCGGCATCCCATAGGGTCCCCAGAGCACTGCCAGGAGTAATTCCCGAGTGCAGAGCTAGGGGGAACCCCTGAGCATTGCTGGGTGTGACCCAAAAAGAAAGTGTTGTGCATGAGGTCACCAGGCTGGTGACCTTGGTGCCCCTCTATTCAGCTTCTTTAAAGGCACCCTGCTACTTTTCTTGTGCCTCTTCTTGCTCTGATTTGGTGGGGGGGGGGTCACTCAGATGTCTGGCCATGATGTTCATGGGGTGTCACGCTCCCTTGGCTGTGGTGCCTGCACCCACGCTCAGCTGGGATCACTCTCTGTTCATGTATTTCTGTTTGGGTGCTCACCGGGGTCACTCTGGTGCTCCCAGGAGCTCGCCCTGGGTGGGGGGTGCTAATGGCTGCAGTGCTTGCATGTTTTTTGTTGTTGTTGTTGGAATGATAGCACAGTGATAGGGCGTTTGCCTTGTGCATGGCCAGCCCGGCTGTGCCGGGTTCGATTCCTCCACTCCTCTTGCAGAGCCCGGCAAACTACCCGCGCGGCAAAGCCTGGCAAGCTCCCCATGACGTATCCGATATGCCAAACACAGTAACAACAAGTCTCACGATGGAGACGTTACTGGGCCCGCTCGAGTAAATCGATGAACAACGGGAGGACAGTGCTACAGTGCTACAGTTGTCAACACTGGGGGTTGCAGCCCATAGTTGGGCTGGTCATACCTACCCTGCCAGCACCAGTTGGGCACGGGGCAAAGGGGATACAGCACATGCCTTGTCCGGAGGATGGAGTCCTGGCACTGCAGTAAGACTGCTAAGCACCAAACTGGCCAAATCAGAATCCCAAGTTCTAGGGCTCTTGATCACCTCCTCAGAACTCAAGTCTCAGGGGGCCAAAGAGCCTCCATGAGATTGACTCGGTACCCCTAAGGTCCCCTGAGCCCGCCAAGAGTGATCCCTGCGCACAGAGCCAGGAGTCAGCTCTGAGCACCGCTGGGTGTAGCCCATAACCAAAAGAAGGAATCAAGTCTCCAGAAAATGGGCGGGACTGGCAGGAGCCTCTGGGTTTTATTTGGCTCTGGAGGCGGTCAGAGAGTGAGTGGGGTGGGGGTGGGGGGGAGCGGAGAGCAGTTCAGTACCGCGGACAGAGCCCCGCCACCCTGGCAGGATGGGAATTGGGATGGGAAGGTTCATTCCGACTTCATGGGAGCTTCAGGGGAGCTAGACCACACTTC